GGTTGCCTAGACAATAAAGTGGTGCACAGATCATTCCTAGAAAAACAAAGACAGGACTGGAGAATATGAAGACGATAGAATTATTTATATTCCATGAATGTAATCAGTTTCAGAATTCGATCAGCGGCCTCACAAGACGAAACTCTGTCATGGAACCACAAGCTGTTCCCAGTGGGATATATCACAAATTAAGCACCATGTTAATAGCTGAAAGGGTGTATTTCCTTCTTCAGACTAATCATTGACAAAACAATTTTCTCTCAAGCCTCACGAACACATGCGTGGACCTCAGTCTTCGTGGTGTCAAATGGAAAGAGGCATTCTGGTGAGGGCTGCATGTCTGTGCAGGTTCGGTCTTGAACGAACCGGAGAAATTCCTTTATAATTCACATAAACAATTTCCAGGCTGCCAGAATAGCGATATTCTGACACGGTTATAATGAGTAATAGCAATGGAAAAGTGCAATTAGTATTATTTTTCTTGACGTTATTACATAAATTATAAAGGGCAAAGTTAATAAACCTCGTTTTTCAGTTGAACAAAAAAGTGCACACATCTATGCGATAATGAACTTATTCCAGAATTTCATTATGTCACTAAAAGGAAAATATTTTACTTCAGCGACATTTAACATGGTTTTCACTTATTTTAAAATCGAAAGTTTTTGAAGCACGTATCTCATTTTAACCACTGTTTTTACTGTGCAGAAGCACAGATAATAATAGCTCAGAAGACATGTAAAATTACTCAGAAAAAGACTACGCCGAGTTCTAGTAAGTAGTAACTTGTAAGATTTGAAGTTTTCACAGCGGTGAGTATGAATATTTCTGTCTTCTGGGTTGTTGCGCTGTGTAGTCTGGTCGATGTTTACCAACGTTTCAGAGGTCGTACTGCCTCCGTCATCAGGGCGATGAACATCTACCAAACTACACAGCGCAACAACCCAGAAGACAGAAATCTTCAAGTAGTAACTTCCTTTAGGTTTTCCGACTACAATTTTGTCAACGCTTTTGTCATCTCTGCGTATTGTAATTACCAACGATACCTTTGTTCATGTGTGAATATGGTACACAGGCGAAGAGAACAAACCTCAGGTACACCCCACATGTGTGAAAAACATTATGACGCAGACTACCCAACATGCTCTCTTTTCTGTTTCTGTCACCCTTCTTTTCTCACCCCTCTGTTAAGGCTGAGACTTGCCCGTTCCCAATCTGCCGTTGTATGACTCAGTTCGGCTTTCTGTATTGTCCATGGAAGGACCCTTCAAACTTCAAACCCGAGTAACAACAACCATTGACGATGTGAGCTGAGTCACGTACACTGTACAGAATCCTCACTGTGACAAAATGTCTCCTAATCGATACTGCATTGGAAATACACTACGGGGGTTGAACGACAATTTGCGGCGGACTATCAAGTCATTTTGTTCATTTCTGTTATGCGTTGATCCAATGTCATCCTACAGAAATCACATTACTTTTTTTTTTTTTTGAACAGCATTGAACCATATGGAAAGAAAATTGCTGCTAACAACGAAATTGGATAAAATCATGTTGAACAGCCCATCAACAAATTTCTTACCCTTTCTACCAAGTTCAGGATCTGAATTTATACAGAATTACAACAAGCAGTGAGCACTATATTGGAATAAATTCCGCTACTCAGTGATAGGGTCCAATGTTTCTACGGTTCGAGGAGTCTGGGATTCCTAAGGTTGTAGATGAAGACGACGGTCACTAGATATGGAGGACAGCACTGAGTACGTTCAATAAGCAATAGCGGATAACCTATATGAGGTGTACTCCATTTATAAGGTAGGGCCATGAGTTAAAAATTCGTCACAGAACAAACTGGCATATTATGAAATATTGAAAAGGGCCTCAGACTTCTCTGAACAAGGTAACATATCTTCGGGTGACAGAAAAGTCGGAGAATTTCTTAACCAGGTGAGCGACTGTCATCCTCAATACCGCTGTTTCCCTGTACTTATTCATAGTTCAGTATTCTAAAACGAAACCAGTACGTTTCGGGAGCTGGCTCTGCTACCGTCTTCAGGTGAAAATGCCTATTCTGTTGGGGTCGGATAAAAGGAGAAAATCTCATTCCCAGGGCCGTCACCTTCTCAAGAATGAATTTTCTCTGTGCAGATAGCCATTCGGTGATACAAGAACACAGAACAAATCCTGTGAACTGAACAGGATTCACCTAGCAATCCATGATGGAAAGCGATGCATACAATAGTTTCTTCCGGAAATCCCATTTCCGTGTCATCAATGTTACGTAGTCCTATGCCAACACTATTCATGTATTCAATTATAAGCCATTCAGAGCGGATTGGTAATTATATATTTTTTTTAGTAATAGTAACTCTTCATTATGTACGTGCGAGTTTTGTATGATTCTCACCGTAAATAGTGAACATGTCTTCAGTAATTTCCACTCGATGACGTTCACTCGTATTTTATATTCTACCGTCAGCCCAAAGCATAACATGTATGACGGAGATACACAGGCTACACGGAGGTGGAATCCTGATATCTAAGTTACCTTAAAACAATTCTACGTCACTATAATTAGCCTATAGTACACTACTTTGAAAGAGGGACACCACAAAGCATGCGTTAATAACATAAATAGATGGTACACAAACCGTCTACATGTTCAGTAAGTTATAACGCACTTATCTCGTTTTATTCGACCGCAGGGAAGTACGGTTAATCAGGAACGATGTAGAGTCAACTACGTAAGCGATAAATAGCACTGTTGCTTACCTGGTACAGGTGGTTCAGCGATCCGTGTATCTGGAACACATTTGAAGTAGACCATGTGTCTGAGAGGGCTGATATATCCACCACTGAAAGCAAAGCGAATATATACCACGAGGATGAAACGCATTCTACAGAACAGCAAGTCTATTAAGGCACTTCATGATTCCTGAAACATTATGTGAGATTATGGTGTACCGAAAATAGGTCTAGTTTTATAAGATTTAAGGTTTTACAGCGGTGAAAATGTGGATTATGATCTTATGCACTTTCTTGCCGTTGCCGTGTGGCCTTGCAGGCGGTTACCAACGTTACGGAGAAACGTATCGCCTATATCCTGAAGATAGAGAAATAACGTTCACTTAAACGTCGATAACCAGCTGTAGACTACACGGTAACACAACCCAGAAAACTAAAATCCAGTTAAAATATTGATCATGAAAAAGGTATTTGCCACAATGGAAGCCGATTGCATGGCCGCGCTGTCTAATGTGTGGGTCTTGTTTGCTAGAACACTGGGGAAGTGGGTTCGAATCCCATTTGAGGTGTGGATGTATGTCTGTGTTTTCTGTCCTGTGTAAGTATAGACCTTACAAAGTGCCGACACATCAGTGCATGAAGTATTACCAAACATCTGATAAAGGGTTTTAAAAACTGGATAATCTCCATTAAGACAAGGCTCATAGGAACTGTAAAAGCACCTTGAAGAATAACTAAATACCGCATGCCGACAGATTAAGACATCAGAAGTTCTGACGTCTCTGTAACAGGTGCCGAAAGGCTTTACCGAAAAGCATAAAATACAAACGTGGAAACAAATATAGGACAAAAATTGACCAAACATGAAGACGTTTCAACGTAAGAAAAGGAAAGGGTGTGGAATGTAAAGCGTAAATTACCATCCCCGGAGTTCAGTAGTAGCAAGTTAGTCTGTACTTGTCACGTGTCTTCTAACGGGAACATGTTGCCTACTGAACAGTACATTCAAAGGAACTGTGAATTAATCAATATACAACAATCCTGTCGGAAATAAAGTCTTCGTTACTAAAGTAGTCTTATTTCAAAGAACGAAAGAAAGATAGGCGACTAATAGTTAAGTACCTATCTCTCATATCTGGTCATGCATTATCTTTTTAGCTTTCCTGTACGATAGGCTTATAGCTTGCGAAACTGTCTTTGTCACACGAGATCTTGGTTCCATTTCGTGTTTGATCATCGTGTTTCTATACAGGCATATCGCAATGGCCAGATCCTTTCATGTTTGTATAATGCAATCACCAACATTATTACCCTGCCAGGTGGCTTCCTACGTTCTCAAGCCATCTCGTCTGCAGTCTTACCAACTACTTCTTTTCCTCCAAGGCTTTGCGAAATAACGTCATCTTGAACAAAACTGTCAATTACTGAAGGATGTGAAATGGTTCCATGAATGCGTTACAGTGGTAATATGGAGCACAATGTTAATGGTTGAGAACAGACATAGAAATTTGAGAAGGAACTAATCTTTTCGGTACTTGTAAGCGTGTTACCGTCCCGAACCTTCAACTCTGAAAGAATTCCACCAATACTGCTCAACCTGGCATAGACTATAGTTGTTAATTTCTATTTTAGAACATGAAATGACATGAATTCGTTTTCAAACACACACAAAACAAATTATTTATTCGAAATCATTTTCTCACGCACGTAATACTTATTTAAACAGGTGAAAATTCGGCCGTGAGGTTGCAGTTTCCGGATTTATTTTTCATTTGCATTCGTTATGCTAAGCAGTTGATACATCTGCTACAAACTACACTTATATTACGCTTTATTGAACCAACTGTCTTAATTTCAATCATACAAATACCATAAAACTAAACTTCAATGGAAATCAAGAAAAACACGAGAAAAAAAAAACGTTTTGCCAACTATCTCCCTCACAAATGCCTGTAACAGCTTCTGATAAAAATCCAACATGCCCTGCACCCTTTCAAAATTACTTAACATTTAAGACTAATAACAAAAATCTACTCAGCTGACAAACATTTCTTCTAAAAGTACACTGAGAGGAAAAAGAATTTCTGGAATAGGACAGCATGTAACCAGGTTCCGCAGGACTTCATTCTTACACATTCAGATTGTAATCTTCAAGTAAAAGATGTTACTCCATCAAGAAGTCAAAACCCAGAGGAAAGATTTCAACACATCCCATTAAACAGGAGGAATAAGGTAATAAATAATACATAAACTACAAAAACATTTTTTTTTATTTTTTCTTATATTCTTACCAATGTAGTATATATTTACAAAACTCCTAAAACAGAGCTGACAAATTGTTTATAGCGAATTTACATTACCACCGTGTTTCAAACACTATACAAGCCGCAAAGTATTTATTTACAATAGCAAAATAAAAATTCTCATGTGTAATGTGTTCAGCAACAACAACAAAAAACCTCTTCTGTAGCCTTCAATTTTCCATATGCTTCACGTAAGTGTTCCCACAAACTGTAGTGATTAAAAGCACCTTAAATCTTTGCCGAAGTAACAGTGGTATAAAAATAATTTTAAGCAACTTCGGCAACTCTGCAAAAAAATTGGAAAACTCCCCCCCCCCAAAAAAAAAAAATGTCCTCGGTCCCTTGTCTGTTCTCTTGCCATTCCTACTGTCTGAAGGGTTCAGGAAGGGCCGCCACCTGGCCTGGATTTCTTTTCAGATCAGAACACGGGGAGGGGGTAAAGAGAGGGGGGAGAGAGACTGGAACCGGTTCCCAATGGCCTGTCTTCAAACTACCGACTGCATCACCAGTCACCTGGGACAGACAATCTTAAACTGATGGAATATAATTTTTAACTGGAAAAGTTCGGGGCTTCTCCTACCTAAGTGCATAATATACGATAAAGTAAAACTCCTTATAAAATACCACTGCCACATCAGCACTAAACATGCTGTAGAAACCACGCATATTGACCCTTCTGAGATCACCTCCCACAAGCATATAACGAAAAAATACCGTTTATAATTCGCTTTATAACACCAAATTATATACAAAATGAACACAATACTTAGAAAAATACACGTCTCATGCTGTCTAGGCCTATGTTGGTAATGTTCAAACACAATATACTCAGGACACCGTCTTTCATTGCCACATTGTCTAACATCACACCGCTTACTACAAACGTCCTTGTTCATATCCATTTAGAATTCGAAAGGAGATCACATAATGAAGTTCGATGGTTTCATTTGTTTACACTTACAGCCTTCAGGTTGTGGCAACACTGTTCGGTTACGACGAAGCAACCAAATGGGGAGTGAACTCTATTCATCAGCAACCCCGAGTTTCAAAGACAGGGGGACGGGGTAGCGTCAATTTGGCCGCAACGGAAAAGTACGGAGAGTGGGGTGGGTGACCCTTTCTTCAAAGAACTGGTATGGATGGACGTTACACAGCATTGGGGGGCGGAAAGGAAGTCAACATAAAGGATATTGCTGGTTGCATAAAAGTCACTTTTGGGCTGTACACGTGCGAAAAAATATCGGTGGACTACCAATATTAGCATTATTAACTTTACACTGTCATCGCAAGAAACGGCCTCTGTTGCAGAACGTCGACACCTTCCTTCGCTTGCGCCGAGCACAGATCGGGGGTGGATACCGAACGCGTGAGTTTTCCTATTCCCGCCCCCGGAGACAAGTCCGTTGTCGCATTTCCGGCAAGATTACCGAAACTGAATATGGACACTAGACTCGTAATACGATCGATCTCCATAGTTGTGGAGCCTTTCTCATCATCCTGAACATCGTCCTCTTCATCCTCATCGTCGCATGTCACAACACAGTCCGCAAGCAGAGCAGCGTCGTCCAAAAACACAGAGTCATCACCTTCACAACACGATGCTGAAGTCTTGGCTCGCTTCGGCAGAATTGACGAAACAGCTTCTTCCGTCTCCCACTCCGCAACGGCACGACGTCTCTTGAGGCACCTAGTCGACGAGCACGTACTTGTTGCGTTCGACCTGTCACGTAAGACGACGTTACTATCTCCACGAGAGGGCGCCTTGTCCAAATCCAAATATGTGGGGGATTCACTGTGAGGAGAGCTGGGATTTGGATGATAAGGGGGTGGAGTATGATTTTCTTTGTCGTCTTCACAGGACGGAACGGAGGACGTATTATCTGCACACCGAACACAGGATGCGGACGGCTGAAGGAATTCTTGCAGATGGTTAACTCCGGAGGACGCTTCTTCGGAGTCTGGGGTTATCTGTTGTGACGATGCAATACCAGCTTCCTCTGGTGTTAAAGCCACAAGTCCCTCGTCATCGTAGTTCTGCTCGTATTCGTCACGCTGCTGATGATCCTGTGGGGTTGTGGCTGTAGCCACGTAACCACTGGCGCCTCCCTGCTGAGACTGAACCATGTGGTAAGCTTCCTCCATGAAGATGTAACGGGCCTTCTGTAGAACCGTGGCAACCAAGAGATTCTTATGAAGGCTAACACCACCACGCTGAGCGCGAGACTGCGCTATTTTAGTCAGCGAAATGCTGATTAGTCTCTGTGCTTCTGTTGCCATCACTAGTGATGTACTTCTCGATGTGATAATTTAAACGCCTATCAACACGCCAATAATGATGTCGGCTTGTTGCCGCACGCACAACACCTCGCCTTCTCTTCCTTTACAGTGCAATCACCGTAAGCTTCTTTCGGTTATCTGAATAGAGTACACCACGCGTACGTAAAAACGATATAGACGACGGGCGGCAGCAGCAGCAACCAACACTAAAATAAAACAAACGATGTTACAATCCTGGCACTTTCAACTAGAATGGCAGCTGATGTCACCACTACCCATATATGTAAGTTTCCGTTGCCATGACGTCACAGCCTACTTATCAACCAATCAGTGGACGTCCTTCGTCATTTACACGAGGCGACTGAACTGCCTCCTACGGGAAAGCATCGAACCTCCTTCAATCGTAGCCTTAACAAACGGAAGCAATAAGGTCGAAAATCGTAAATGCTAACCTTTCAATATTATCTGCTAACTTACGACAGCTGTTAAAACATTACAGACCAATTTAAACCATATCGTCAATGTATTTAGAATTTGAATATGACGGAAGTTGTAAATGACGTTTACAAGATATATATATATAAAAAAGACTCAACGTTTTACGCTTCGTTTTGTTCTTTTCCGTCTGATTACTCACCCATATATCCATTCTTTACACCTAACATGATCGAAGCAAATGTTTTGAGAGAAATATGAAAACTGCAGTTTTTAACAAGAACTGTTGTTAATAACAGACTTTTTTTCTGGAAGTCTGAAGACTTCCTGAAATCGTATTTTGGCAATGGTCTCAATTTTCAGGTTTCAAATTAAAAATAATTTGGATATTGATACCTGTCTGAGCTTTTAAAAATTGGTTACATTTAAATACAATCTTCTGCCATCTGTGGACCGAAAACATAATTAAACACAACTAATGGCCTGACCTCTATAGTGAAGATGGTTAACCCACGTTGTTGAACACAGGAAAAGCGATTGAAACGATTTGCTGATGCAAAAAGTTGACAATGGAACCACGGTTCCGGAGAATCTGACGTAAATACGTCTCTTCAATGTATTGAAATGTAATAATTCTTGTATAAGATAAGTACCTGTAATATTCTAAAACGTTTTTACCAGCACAAAATTATCTAGTCTACGATGCACTTCTTCTACAACCGATTCACAGCTCAGCTCTTTCCTCAATAACGAAAGCGGATTGTTGACGGCAGTAATGTAACACAACAATGCCGAGTAAACATATGACGCAACAGTTTCTTTGGTAACAACAATGCACGCAGGGGTTCATATAAAATCTGACCATTGTTGTCGGTCCATATTTACACATTGTTGATATGGATCTTACACAACTTCGTTACACCATCTTCGTTATGCTTTTTTGCCGAATGACCCTTCCGCATAGACGTATTTACGTTAAAATATATGTGGTTGTTCGTTATTTACCTAGAAATATCACAAATTTATAACACAGAAAGAGGCAGTTGTGGCATTACCCTGCGGGGACCAGGGAACAAGGTTGGAAACATCCATTTAGGCCTCCTAGTATTAACGTAAATCAAATTTAATTATAATCAAACATTCTTTTCGAGCCTAACCTTCATTTTAACGGGATATACATATCACAATGAATTTCCTCTTTGCAAGTACATTTGTACTAATCAACTTTTGCCTCTATGAAAATTCTGTATGTAAACTCTTGCAATAAATTATATCACATTCTAATGGATACCACATTTGAGCATAATCAATCAACTTTATAATTTATACTAACTCTTCTGCAAAAGTCATAGCCATCGATTTGTAATGGTATGCAGGTGCTGTACTTTCTTTTTTAACAGGCCTTAGAGATAAACAACCCAAAAAACTAACAGAGATTAGCTTAAAAATTGCTTAATTTGATTCATAGTTTCTTGATAATTCACTCAACTTGTAAATCTGATGTGCAATTGGAATGTAACTCCATCTACATTAAAACTATGAAAGTAGCTGATTGATGGGTGCATTACTCATACATGTTTATTCCTTTTTACCTCTTTTAAAAATGCAAATGATTTTTTTTAAATTTAGAAAGTAATAATGATACACACTATGCAGATATTGAAATATTGTGATATTCCTGAACTGCTGAATTTTGAATGTATGTTAATGTAAAAGTTACAATTTAACAGGCATGAGAAGAATTAGTCCAAAAATTAAATTTGCATGAAGTAGTTTGGGAACGACTGTAGACAGACTTCTGCATCTCTATTCATGTCATGTACCTAGTTCAAAGAATGGTTTGAATGAAAATGAAGGGGAAGGAATTTTTGTATGTGAAGTGTCTGCAGAATGTGACGCCATAAAACAATTTTTTGTGGAAAATGTCCTAAGTGTTATCAGCAACTGTGTTTGCGGTTCATACATTACTTTGTAGAAGTAGAAACACTAGAATAAACTGGTTATCAGAAATCATTTTACTATATTTTTTTCTGACACATAATTTCGTACTTGTAGCCCACAATTTTCAGTTTGACACTGAAATGAGTGTCGGGTAAGTGAGTAGATGTATGAGAGAGTCTAATTTGATTGTATTTCAAGATGGTGTGACTACAAGTAATTGGCCCATTTATGTCTGAGAGATACTCAATTCAATCTCACTTTGTACCACATCAAGAATTTCTTCTTGTACTTTTCCATAGTTCTTGTAAGCAAATAATGTGACAGTACCTTAGCATAGGCCATGACTGCTTCCTCTACAATTCCTTCCAATGCTCCATTCATATCCTGACACCTTTCAACTGATGTACATAAGTACACTTGATACAGCATCATCAAATAACCTAAGAACAAACAAATATCAAACTATATCTTCTTCTTCTTCTATGGCGCAACAGCCTGAAGTCGAGCCTTGGCCTCCTCCCATACGGGAGGTTTTCTATGTCTTTTGAAGTTTGCATTTATGAGTAGTGAGTGACATGCCCCACTGACTGCACAATTTCTACTCAATCCTGATTTGTCTGCTAGAGACATCTAGCAGTGAATCAGGAGAGACTTGGGTGAGAAATGGCCACTGAATTTTGCTTACAAAACATCTCGTACATGCTCGTAAGGTTCTTTTACATGCCGTAAATCTACAACATGGGACCGCCGACTTTACTTCCCCTATGAAGGAAGTTGTGCTACGAATTTTTATCACCCTTAAAAATCCATCGACTTTGGCCGGGTTTGAACCCGTGAACTTTGGGTCCAGTGGCAAGCACGCTAACCAATCAAAATATATAGTTACACAAATATAATTAATTATAAAGATGGCTGTCTTCTGGGTTGTAGTGCCATGTAGTCTGGTAGAAGTTTACCGACATTTCAGAGGTCCTTGCTGTATCCATCATCAGGGCTCTGAAATATTGGTAAACTTCTATCAGACTACATGGTGAGAATCTCAGATCCTACATAATCAGTTATAATTTCATGCAATGCATTTAAAATTTTAAAAATAAAATGTTGGGCTATAAATAGTAATTTATCACACCAACACAATTCAGTTCATAATTTCATGCTTCCTCTTAAAATATTTTAAACATTAATGCTGTACTACTGAATAATGATTTATGTTCAAACACCACATGACATGCAAAAAATACTTCAGCTTACCAAAATAACCAAACATTCCTTGTTCCAAAGTTTTTTTTCAATGTGCTCCATTATGAATTAGATATTCTACAACTCATCATGTGCCTGGTTTGCATTAGCTGATGTACGCTCAGTTGGGAAAGCCCAGAAGGATGAAGGCAAGCCACGAGCATCTCTCTCCCTCTTGACAAAAGCAGAGAAAGATGATATACAATTGCCAATAAAGTGATTTGACTGACCAAGAATTGCCAGCTCAACATGAGGATTGGATGGTTCCAAACGATGAACAGTGACCTTTAAAAAAACAAAACAAAAAAAAAACCAATTGAGTTAATCGGCTTATAAAATTAATGAAAACCTCAATTTGCATACAATTTCTTCATTTCATGAGTCTATGAATAAGGAGGTGTCACTTGGGAAAGTTACTTGAAGACCAAGAAATGTGACCGTCCCACGAGCCAAGGACTAGTCTGCAAAACACAACTTACATTTATAATTACAGTGTCATTCATTACATTGTACAGAAAGTTGACATTCTCCTACTTGTTCATATAAATTATAATGGAAACAGGTGTACATCACCAGCCTCCCCATCTTCACACTTTGAGAATACCTTGCGAGCTACATCAACGGACTTGAGACATGGTATTCTGTTCCACCAATACTTATGCCATGCCATGTATAAAGTCCTGATAATAACAACAACAACACTAAGACGACTGATTCTTCTGTGCAGCAACTAGCAATACTGGTGAGATGGTGCATCTTGAATCACAAATCCATAATTGGACACTTATGTGTCAAACTGTAGTCAGCATTCATTTAATTTTGTGGTCGCAGTATTTTATTAGAACAGTGGTTTGTTTATCAAAAAAGTGGACAATAAACTGTAAGAATATAGGATAAACACGAAAGATTTAGTGACAATGAAGAAAAGTGCCCTATTCTAGCTCTGGGAAAAATGAGGAAAATAAGCTTCTAGTGGAACACTGCATCTCTTTTCTCCAAACAGGTTAATGTAGTTGATTTCTAGACATTTACAATTTCAGCCAATCTCAATTCTCAGAGGTATACTGTATGATTTTTTTAATACATTACTCACGCAGAGTCTCTATTTATTAAATTGAAATATTTTCTAGTGTAGAAATGAACTGCTCACCTCCATTCTCTTAAGTGCCTCTGTGAGGTCAGTAATCATGTGATTGCTATCTGAAGCAACAAACACTGCTACAACACCTTTCATATTTTTCAGTACCCTTTTAAGTTGTCTCACAATAGTCTCTCTGGAAGGGAGACACATTTCTGTAGTAGCTACACCACGCTCATTTTGATAACCAAGGCACTGGGGAGCTGCAAACAGATTTGGACTGTAGTTGATGTGTTCACATGCACGAACCTATGGAGTAAAATATATAATGAATACAAATAATGTAAGTGATGAAACAGAAATATAAGTTTCTAAAACAAAACATTAGCAAATATAAAATAAACAAACAAATAAACTATTAACACTATAAAGAAGATACTAGTACCATGCGCGTTTCAACCTCAAGAGGTCATCATCCGTGGCAACAAGGAAATTAATTAATTTTATCAGAATGGTTTAAAATTAGTCTAAATATGGTTTATAAAACAAATCATGAAGTTGAGTTCTTTACAAAACCATATCAAGCAACACTACACTAGATATTGGTTTCACAGGAGTTGAACTCTGCACTTAGCTATTGATCCGATGGTCCGACAACCGTAGCTGGTCTGCGGCGAGCCGTTGTTGCGTCGTCCATATCCGTGAACTCCAACGAAGCGTGGGCGATGGATGACCTCTTGAGGTTGAAACGCGTATGGCACTAGTATCTTCTTTATAGTGTTTAATAGTTTGTTTGTTTGCTTATTTTATATTCTAATACACTATACGGTATGCAAAGTTTTAAGATTAGCAAATATGATAAGCATAAACATTTGAATATCAATAGACTCTGGATAAAGTCACAAGGAAAGAACTTCAAAGCAGAAAGAAGGGAATAGCCACTAAATTAAGTAAAAAGAAAAAATTCACACACCTTTTTACGTGTGAGCACAAAACATGTATGGATACGTATAAACTACTATTTCTTTAAAACCACTAAACTTAACTACTAACGGTGTAACACATGGTCTTTAGAAATGATACTAAATGCAAAGATTGTGGTGGTAGTCAGTATGTACAACCTATGATTTGTGGTGGCTGCCAAAGCTCGAGGAACTTCTGTTAGAGAGAGGATCAGGCAGGAATTAGGACTAGCATAGGCACAGAGTTGAAAAGGAAATTATTTGTTTATACTTCCTCTTTTGACAAGTGCTATAGCTTTCTTCTGCTAACCAATGTTCATAATATGAAGTAAGACCTATAGCTTTTGTGGTGACAAAATTCAGTGAGGTCTTCATGGGCATTCAGCTGAGTCAAGGATCTGATATGTCAGAATCTTGATGATGACTGAGATGGTTCTTGAAAAGTCAGTTTTTTATGACAACCTAATGTGGCTGGTTATCCATAAAGTCTTCGCTGAATTCATAATATGAGTTTTAAAAATTCTGCACTTACGTTAAAACATAAATAAATCAGGAATGAAGCAGATACTGTACCCAGTCTATTCCATTACGCAAATGAATTCCTATAAAAGCTCCTTTTGGAAGCTTTTGCCTGATAAAATCATGTGCTTGCCCTTGTATTGGTTCACTCCAATGCATGTATCGATGTAGTTCACGATTCTCAAGTTGGACTGGAAAGCTTGCAGGAGCCCCAGTAAAAGCAAGAACTGAAAATAATAATTTGAAAACAAATCCAATATGAAATATGAATTTCTATAATGGTAAAACTGGTCTTTGTGGTTATCATGCAGTCTTGTATGTGGTTACCAATATGTCACAGATATAATCTCTTTATCTCCAGTGATACATTCCTCCAAAACGTTGGTAACCACATACAAGGCTATGTGGCATCACAACCCAAAAGACCACAATCTGTTTCACTACATACTATAAAGGCAATAAAAATGCTTATGGATTCTAACATTTATATAGTAAAACCATTTATGATTGTTTTAATAGGAAATGGGGGGAAAAAAGATGTAAATGTTGATAAGAAAATTAAAATGTTTTGTACTTTGCAGGTATTAATACATAACTGTAATAGTTACTAAAAAATCTAAGTTTTAAAGGATATGATAAAATATTAAATTTGTTGCACAGCATAAAAAGGACAAAAATGTGGAGGTGTACAACATTTTATCTCATGTAAAACCTATCTAGTCTGAAAATGAATGCTGTGACATATGTAATTCTGAATCAATGCCATTTCCCCAATATGCACAATAGTCTGCACTCACCTTAACACAAATAGGGAAAATGAAAAACTAGGTTTAGGCTTTTCCGTACATGAACGGGCTGTGTTGAGATACTAGATGGGGCAAGAATGAAGAGACGAAATGCCATAATTCCAACTCATATGGATTTTAACTTCGCATAATTTAACCTAAAGAGATTTGTGTCATGTTCCGGAACCTGTTTTTTCACTTCATCAAATTTATTGAAACATTTGTTCACTCTCACACTCAAACATTCACTGTCAGTTTGTTGACTGGATCCTTGTTTAATTAATGATTCTGTATATCAACTGCACAGATTTGGTCATATGGGAAGGCAATGATAAAGTAGTATTTACAGAAAATAGAGAAGAAAGTGACTGCATTTCTGCCCAAGAATTTTCATACGGAACAGAGAAAGAAAAAATTCAATGAAGATTGCCAGTGTTCAGTGTAAAATCCAGAATGGATTATCTCTGAAAGTGCATGTTAAACTGACGCTCAGTATCAAAATGACTGTTACCATTACTGTATTTTTGCGGAACTTGTGTTAAACAGCTCTAGCAGCTTCGTCAACACTAAACATCAAAATTGTTATACTATAGTAGGACTAAAGTAAATCACAGTATATTACTGATCAAGATGGCTTAGATCGTATTACTTCTTTCTTTTATTCGCCAGGTGAATGATTCGAATCTCCGGCAAGACACAAACTATCCATGGTTTTCCTCACTCCCATCAAGCAAATGCTACCATGAAATAAACCCACTCCTTTCAAGTTCATCCTTACACACAATTCTAACCTAACAATCACTGCAGTTGATAGAGAGTCATTAAATAACTTAATACTCCCCTCTAATTTACGATTCAGAGGGGTGTGTGTTCAGCATTTATTACATAAGTCTGCATCAACTTGGTCAGTTTTTGTGGTAACCTGTTACAGAGCAAGGACAGTAGAAAAATGTCACAATTGGACATCATTTTGGTACACCATGCTAAGTTGCAAATTTTCTAAAACTTTCATTTAAAAACCTTCTTTCAGGTAAATAGAAAAGTTTAGATCACTACAGAAGCCACAGTTAAAATCATAATATATTCATCCTTGCCATTAAGATAATATTTTTATGGAAAATATCAGCCTGCTTGTGAATTATATGCTTTATATGTGAAGGATAAACTCACAGGGTCAGACATTTCAGTTCACGACAGACTTAATTCTCAGCTGACAATATGTGATACATACCGGGCCATTTATGTGATGGATACTTCTCACTCCACTTTGCAGACATATCATGATGATGTATGTCATAATGCAATGGTCCATAAAATTCAGATCCAACAAAATCCACATTAAATGTATCCCAGAATGGTCCAAATGGATTCCCTTCTTTTGCATTACATCCATTGCCATCACCCCTAGGAGTGTAGCAAAAAGCTGACACAACAATAAAACAGACATAAAATATGATACAAATCAAGAATGCACATTGATTCTTAAAAATCAAAACTCATCTAAAAGAAAACACAACACATCTCTCTTACAAAGATCAACTGGCTGATGCTGTTTACAGAAATAATTCCTGTTAACACAGAGAATTACATGAGACCCATAAACACAAATACAGTCTTACAGTTTGTTAAAGCAGGGGGTACACATAGTTAACACTGCATTTAACCCTAGTTTCATTAAATAATTTCTTGTCTGCCATGATGAAAACTTGAGTGGAAATTGGTTGTTCGAGACACTTATGAAAGAAAAAATTTTAAGATAAAGGAGATATATTCCTGTGAAATGTTGGTAACCACCTACAGGAGTACATGACATCACAATCCAGAAGACCATAATCCACATTATCACCACCTTAAAAATCTCAAATTTCATACAGACAAAATAATCATACAAAATATTTTTTTGGATTTTATTTTTTTAAATAAATGACCTTTCTTCAGATGTTTCTATAACTAGATGGTATTGTCTGTTGCTCCAAATATTCTAGATCAGTTTTCCACAACAGTTTCTACAGTATTATACAGAACTCACTTCTCTTGTATCTTGTTTTTACTATGTCTGTTTCTATTTGGTGAGAGATCATAATTTCTCTACTGCCCAATATTCTGTAATGTAAACTCTTTACCATCATTCTAGTAACCCCATACCACAAACTGAAAATATGTAAACATCAATATTTCTCATTCCATTGCATTCACCATAGATATTTTAGTACCCCAGCAACTATTTAAAATGCTGTGATAGTACCTAGCTACAATTTCAGCTTAAGATACTACTTTGGCCCTGCAGATAATACTAAATGAGCACAGGAATCCCTTCTAATATATAAATCACAGTAATCATCCCTATATGCTTAAAGTACATGTGTAAATAAAGAGTAAGAGAAATTTTGAAACATCTTGGTGTGAAGCCAATAATCAAATATACAACATTCAAAATATCTTATAAATGATCAAGATGTTCCATACTTCTCTTCCATTCTGCCATAAACTTACAACAGTTGCTAATTTTGGCACAGGAACTGACAATTGAAAAAACACATTTAATATAGTCTCCCTCCTTTCAAATAAAAGTAAAGCATTTACTAAATGTATTGTGTAGATTGTTGATGTCACAAGAGCTGACAAAGCATTTAAAAATTATATAATACGTACCTATCCTTTTTTGTGGTGGCCAGATGTCAAGAACTAAAGTCTTCATAAATTTTTCCATAGTCATAACCCTATGGTAGTTCAGTAAAGGTTCAACTTTAAAGTATGTATCAAATGGAACTTGAATCTAAAAGAAAATATAATTAATAAAGTAAATATATTTTCATTTTGATAGTGGTATACTCAAGTAGTATACCATCTTCATCTCCCAGTAATCTACTATTATGTATATTAAATCACATTAAGTTTTGTGGTTCAAAGTAGTTCCAGGGGTATGACACTGAGAAAGGCCTACCAGCATGGGCAAAATTTACCAACCCATGACATAAATAGGGCAACTGAAAGCATATACATCAACTATTTGTATGAAAATGGGCCAAATACAGCTTTAAATTACTCAAACTGATATCCTTAACACACACTAAATGACAATGCCCTGCAATTTCTCTCCGAAATATGCATTTTCATCTTACTTTATATATGCATTATATAAAGCATGGTTCAAAGTGCAGATTAAGGAAAGTGTCCTCTGAATTTAACCTAACCAAATCCAGAAAGAAGCATTTGTGTGGAATAAAAACGACCCTGAATGGGATACCTACATAACTGGTTAAATACCGTAATCTGTACCATAACCCACGAATGGATAATACTAATTATTCTTACCGAGCGCGGTTCTCCGTACCGGTATTCCACCCATGGTGGCAGTACTAATGTTCGATTCACTCCTTTAGCAAAACCAAGCGCGCCCAAAAAGTGATCAGCTTGATTGCCTAATCGTCCTAAAGAACGCAAACAAGAGGATCTTTTACAGCATAACCTCTAAATATGAAAACAACACAATTAGTTGGCAAGTTTAAGTAACTTACCCATACAGGGGCAATAAACGATATACCCATTATAATCGACTCCTTTAGCTGTTACTGAATTACTTATCATGGAACTACTTAGCATCATATAAAACAAAAGAAACCATTTATATTTAAACCGGCCTCCAAAAACTTCATTGTACACCTCCATGTTGATATCAATGTTAGTAGTGGCAAACCTACCGGTAAGTTACAACATGGAAGTTGAAATAAAACGGACTTTTTTAAATGTCTTTATAAACATTCGTTCTATTTATAATCATAATAAATATGAAACATTATACGTAAATATTAGTCAGTATGTTTTAAAAGGTTAGAGATGTGGTTACTTCCCTTACTTGACCACCACTATTCACTATCACATTTAGGTTCTGAAATATATGGCAATTTCCTTACCAGTTGTCTTGAGGCCAACTTTATAATAAACGTTATGTCGCAGTACTGCTCATACTATACAATATGCTGCTAGAGGCTAACTTTTTGTTATGTTAAGATGCAAGGAATCTAAGGCTTATTTTAGAGTATACCTGAATTCCTTAAAATGTCTGGATTGTACAGATGATCGAGACATGTATGGAACAGGGGGATATTTTATTCCCCAATAGTACTTGACCAAAATCTTTAACACTGGACCAAATTTTTTCAGTATTCAAAATGAGGAATACCAATTTCACACCACTTTGAATTAAGCAATATACCTGACTCAGAATCATTCAAATGTTTTCTCCAGTATCATTTGGTATTGGTACAAACTGATCTATACTTAACAATGATCAGTATTTGTAGAAAATTTTCTGAACAGAAATGGCTATTACAGATCAACACTGCTACCAGTCAGTCTAGTCATGACACTAGGAACATAATTCAAATTTTTTGTTTCATACTGCTAATGCCACACTGTGAGCAGTTAATAACAATTAACATCTCTCCCCCTATAGCACCAAACAAGACATTATGTGGCATTTAAAGTAACGGAGACTTCATGCTTAAGGAAGCCTTCCACGGTTCCCTTTTCCACAATTATTTTCCCATCATATAAATTCTTTTGAATGTACAAAGTATTTTCAGGTACAATCTGAAGAAAGGAAGCAAGCAGCACCTATATAAATCTACAAGAAATAAGGCCCAAATTACTCGATTTCAAAATTGAGTATTAAAACCATGCAAGTCCAATTTTAATTCATTCTGAATTATTGTAAGAGTAACATAAGTATTTGTATTCTTCCCCCCAAAACCATAGTGATCAGAGAACTAGATGGTTAAATGAGAAACACAAAATTTTAATAGGAAATAACATAACACATCCAAAATCTAGATGGGGAAACAATACATAAAGTTAGGTAAATGAGCATGGTCCAGCTGGCAGCCCTAGGCCACTTATAATTACTTAACCAAGTTTTATCTCACCTGCTGCTTTGTGTGTGCCATACATACTATTAAACAAGTGGTTGTAGCAATAAAAAACGTAATTCTGCAATAATTGAAACACTGTTTAACAAACTTATATCTGAAGACATACTCTTGTAATTTGGCATATATGAAAAAGTATTGTCGAAGACAATGAAAACTATCTTGTTAGTTTTCAAGAATAGTGCCATTAAGGGTTCCTTAGGGCTCTGATTCAATGGGAAAACCATTCTCAGCCTGAAGGGAAAAAAGTTGGACATTTTACATGCACCTTCAGAAGCTTGAGACTTGGAAAAATGGCAAGTCATTCAATTATTACAATCTTCTTCTGAACCTGACAGATAACTATAATTCTTTTAAAGGGCTACACAATATATTTGCATAAATTAACCAAACCAAGTGCTAAGGAATTTAATTTTCAGTACAGAAATATGCATTTCATTACAACACAAGAAATAATTTCCCTCCATGCTTACCCTATCTACACTGTTCAAATTAAACAAGAAGTATTTCCCCCCACCCAAATGCCCTTGCCAGTGTAAATGATTTGTTATATCTTTCATTTTGATGGGAATAACAATAACCTCTAAAAAAATCAAATGTTATGGGTATAATTATCTGGGCAGCTATCCATCAACACACATAAAAAAAAACACCTGAACAGTTCTGTGCGCTGATAGGGAACAGGAACAATGTACCCATGAAGGGCATGACATCTGGAAACTCTTCATCACCTTTCCTCTTTTACATGACAAAATAAATGTAAAAATGTTTTATTCCATGAGTAACAACAATCTGATCAGGTTTCCAACTATTGTTGAAGCAGTGTTTATTGCAAGATCATGACCTCTTTATGTTCCAAGCCACTTCAAGGCAATCAAATCTCTCACCACCATCTTCCAGTATAAATAAATATACAAAAGCACAGATGATGTCACAGTATTTACAAACAATTTCAGTTCTTTAGAAAACTTTTCACCAAAAGAAGTTTGTACATTATAATTAAAGAAAACATAATATGATGACTCTCCAGACCAAAGATGACATGATGGCCTTGCATTTTAGATTGTGTACACTCCACCTGTAAAAGACAACAATGATAATTACAAAGTCAATTTGCCTTCTCTTGAATCCAAATATGTGGAACTCATCATATTGACAACTGCAAATAAACAAATAAAAGTTAGGAATTCTAAACCTGACAGTACAGAACAACAAACTCAGTGTCACTGTACACTGTTTCCAAGGGGCTCTGTAATAAAGGATTTAAAGATATTACTTTAACTTTACTCATTATGATGCAAAGGATACATACCATCAAAAGTACAAGAAAAAGTCTATGCCACTGAAATGTCTGCTCTAAATACAGGAAGTAGCTGTTCCGGGTAACATAAAACTACGTTGCAAATCCTACATCTAAATCTCATTCAAGAAACACTAGTACAAATACACATAAACACTCTTTGTTAGTGTTAACACAAAAGGCACTTTTAGTATATTCAGTTCAGGTTAGGTTCATTTTAGTTTGTCGTCTCAACCCCATGCCACTTAAAACTGTGCACGTTTAGTGTGCATACTGAAAGTTTATTGGACATGTTACTTTTGCATGTGTAGCGCCATGCACCTATTGTAAAATACTGATGCGTGGTATTAGAACATGCTTTCATTCACTGACAGTACAGTAATGTTTCCACAGACCTGGCAGAAGTACTTTTTTAGTGCAGGCTAAGCCACTCAGTAACCAATTTATGAATTGGAAAGCACAATGATAAAATCTCATTAGTTTGTAAACTAAAAAAATTCTTGTGCCACTATATTAAATAAACACTTCATTATGTAGTGTCAAACTCAATTATTTGAAAATCCAAAGTGGCCAACAAGTACTGGTGAAGTGGGAAGAGGGACATTTACAAGATAATATTATGAAGATGGCTGCTTTCTGGATTGCAGCACTGTGTAGTCTGATGACTCATCACCCTAATGATGGAAGAAGCAAGGACCTCTGAAATGTTGGCAAACTTCTACCAGACTACATGGTGCTACAATCCAAAAGACGGCCACCCTTCTTTGGACACACTGCTATTAGAATCCTACTGATCTAATATTAATTAATCACCATCTAGTAACATCATAAACTTCATATTAAAGGAGTCACAGTGTGTGAGAACAGCTTGAAAATTTCAGATATCAGTTACACAAAACTTCTGAGACAAAGAGGACTCAATGAGCAGCTACCTTAACCACCTGAATGCATCTCATTCTGTTACTGCCTGTCAATTGCTTAAAAACATAGCAGTGCATGTGGAACATTTTTAAACATCTTATAGGGTTTCAGTTACACCACACTTATATGCAGCTCTAAATGCAATTAAAATGCATACTTACATTAACCATTCAGGTTCAGTATCAACCTTGCCTAAACCTTTTCTTCTTCTAGACCATGTTTAAAAAACATTAAAACAGGAATACTGTCTCCATCAATATCTCTGTACTCAAGCATTGCAACCATTCCATCAATGTCCATGGATTCACCTATATATAAAACAAGTTAAACCAATAATAATTTATGTTAAACCAAATTAATGTAAAATCATCTAAACAATTTAATATTTATACACACCCAAAATCTAGACAAACCTGTGAAAAACTGAAGATCCTTAAATCTACCCAAAATATCTTTCATAACTTTATTTGTATTGATTTTGAAAACACCAACTTCATCTGGGCTCTCCGCTTCCAATTTCTGGATTAATCTGAAAACCCAAAAAAATAAACACCTGAATACATAAACCCAAAATAAATAACTAAAACATAGTTCATATAATAGGATGTAGCAGAACAAACTGAGTACCTTCAAGTAGCTAAAAATAAAGTTTATATGGTGCATTTCACAAGACATTTGGATTGTTAAAACACACTGCAAGACCCAAAAACCTTAAACAAAATCTGCTATACAGATGGCACAATATATCAGTTTATAGAATATGAATTGGAATACTGCTGTTAAGTAGCCAACTGGTAGACAGACAGATATCAAGCTACCTGTTGTCAATTATTTGATTAGAAAATGGAGAACTGTTTCTTACCTTCATAATGGCTATTTTGTACAATTATGATAGTGTTCATTAAATGCTAGGGCAGTTCATGGATAAGCATAATAAAACAAACTAAACAGTTATGAAGATATGAATAATAACAACACAATAAAAGTTAGACCCTACAGTTCATGATGGAAAAGACATACCAGCTACTACAACATGTCACCAAGTGTTGAGATGTCATGAGACAGAAACATCTGGCTGGATGATGACCATCCATAATTGTAATACTCGTGGTTTAGTTCTAGTATTATCAAACAATACAATAAATACAAATGGCAGTTTGACACAACTGATACCTCTAATAAAAAAACATTGAAATATTTTTTTTCCAGACTTTAAAGAAGATGCAGAACTGTTCAAGTGTCTATTACAGGAAGAAAAAACCAATTTCAATAATTACAGCGCGCACACACACACAACTCCAACTAAAAGGGCTTTCACTCTCTGAAGCCAAAAGCTTGTCAAACTACTTAATTCAATTTACCAAAGGGTACCTCACCAATTTGTCAATGCTCAAGGAAATAATTGCTGTTTACTCCAAGAATCACATTACATCCATAAAATCTGCAGGCAAAATACACAGAGTTACTGTGAAGCCAGGACATGCAGTTAAAACAGGGTTTAAAGTGTTAAAATTCTTTAATTTTCTACAAACTTTCCAGCGTATGGAAAATATATGATTAGGTTAATTAACGCAATAGCATGGCAAGGCAGTAAGCACCAACTTTTTCATGTATTCCTTCAGGTATGCTGTAAAACTCTTCTTGTCTCCAAAGGCATATGTTTCATGAAGGTTATGGTTCAACACAACATCAACACCACTTTCTACTGCTTCATCTACCCCCTCAGAAGCTTCTTCAGCAGAGGGATTAAATCCTTCTATTTGGACATTACCTTGCTTTCTTGTTATAAGCTGAAACAAATACATAATACACTTCAATTACAAGGAATCTCCTTGTTTGAGACCATTCTAAAGAGGTAATTAATCACACAGACTTATATGCACTTTACATTTTGTTTAAACATATTTAATTGTCCCAACTAGTTTCATAGATATACTGAAACGAATATTCCAACAATCATACACACACAGCCTTTCTTGGAGTCTATAAACAGATGTATTGGCCTATAGTACTTCCATTAAAGAAACCAATGCAAGTAATTATAATAGAATTGTTCTTAGAAATTAAGTTTAAACCCTTTTAACTCTTCTTTCCTGGCATATTCTCTGCCTGTATTCATAGCATAACAGCACAAACATCTACTATCTATCAAGTGACAAGTATGCAGAAAAAATGTAACAGATAGCAACACCCATTTTGTCCTATAAAAACTCACTGTTAAAACAGGAGCCATAGGAAGGAAAAGTAGATACCACTCAACACCAAATTTGCAAATAAATTAGTCAATAAGGAGTCTAAAATTATATTCAGTTTGAACAGAGCGTTGTAAATATGTTGACTAACAAAACAGCATACCTATAACATGGTCCACTATGCATAATACTGTACGAAACTTTTAATTCCATCTGTGCTGGGCTGCTTCCTACAACCAAAACATCCAATGCACATGTACAATATATATAAAAAATGTATAAGTCAGAAGTCATTCTGTGTGTTTGACCACACTTTATCCTTTCAACTGTCCTACATTTTTGTAATAAGCAGATTTGGTTATTACAGGGTCCACAAATGGGACTGGACTGCAGTAGAATCTGATTATTTGGGGCAGCCACATAATTCAGCCAGTGTTCTAGTCCCGATATGTCCCAATTAAACAGAATCTACTGTATTGTAATGCCTATGTTGTAGGCTATTAATCTGGAAAATTTGTAGAAAATAAGTTTAATTATAGCCAAACCCTGAAACAATGCCCTGTATATACCACCCCCCTTACACTGTACACAGCAAGTCCCAGAACATAAATTCCCTATGTAATCTCAAAACGGAATCAATCCCCACTAAGCACCAATCATACCAACTGCCATGCCCCCAACATCCGTGGGAATACAAATATACCATTAAGCATTATAATAAAGCCCAACAGAGTTCCATGCCATTGTTTCAATTGGCTGAACAGGTAACTCCCTAAAATATTCAGTTCTATGCACACCAACTTCTGCAACTACACTGTCTTGGGAAAGGAGTTCAGATGTTCTTCAGGATCAGAGGCATAATTAGTAACAATTCAAATCCAGGCAGGTGCAGTAAATAAACTTACTACTGGAAGGTGTTGATTTAAAAATGGAAATATTACCCAGAATAAGCTGTACACAGGTAAAATTCCAAGAATTTTGGCACACTTACATTATTCAGTTTCAATTAAATCAACTGACTGGTCACAGAGTAAGGAAGTTGGGTACACAAAGATATAGGTGCATATATTTGTATAACACAGTAAAGAAGGCAGTGTTTAGTGTTGCAGGGGAATGGTGGGGGGAAGCGAACATGCACCTTTAGAGGGTGATATCCTGGTGCTCAAAAATTGTCCCCACACAATCACACAGCTAAAGAACCAAATTATGGAGGAAGTGCGAATCGATGGCATTTCAATGTAACAAGTGGTGCAGAACTTGAGGAAACTGTTACAACCACAATGGAGGACAATTAAAACATGCTACTTTCTAGAAAAATGCATGGACAAAAACCTGTAGTGATTAAGTTTGTTTTTAAAACAAATGTTCCAATCCACTTGCCTATGGTAAGGTGCTGAAAAACATCCAATCCCATTTTTGGACCCTGCATTATGAAGTGTTCTGCATAACAGATGGTCTTGTTCACTACACCTACCAACATGATTAAACAATAGTGACATAATTTACAATGCTGGCCACAAAATTATAACATGTACAACATGTCACTTATTTTACCTCAGTTGTTTCCTCAAATACCATAGCTTTAATCAGAGCAATAATATTCTCATTCATTCTAAGAGTCATATACTCTTTTACATACTCCAATTATTGCTTCCTTGGGTGATAAATGACTGGTATTTCTTCAAGGAATTCTATCACTGGGAATGCTTCTATATACTGATCTGTGATGTCTAATATGACCTCCAGAACAGTTCATTTCAGGGCCACTGGTTTACAGTAACCTTCATCACAGTTGTGTCTTTTTAAGTTTAAATATAGCACTCACGATTAATTAGTACTATTCATCTCCTATACATACACAGACCCAGTAAATAATTTTCTTATTTTAGACAAGTGCCAACTCTATTACACCTTACAATGAAAACTATTTATGTAAATAAAAATGGCTCCCACTACCTCACAACATATTCTGGTTGGATTACAAGAATACAAAGCTATATAAATTGCCATCAAAGAGACAAAATTTTCACTTTCCACATATCAAAATAACCTCCTCTGAGGAAAATTCATAAATGTAAAAGTTCAACATCCATTAGTAGATATGGGTTAACAGTATACAGCATCCAAAAAATATGTACACACATTCAATGAATGAAATAAAGACATTTTAACAAAAACAAACCATTACATATGTAAGCACTGGCACTCAGTGAATTTGAAAATCTGCTGTGGTGTTCAAAACGACTACCATTAGCTTCATAGCACAATCAACATAGGTGAGCGACATTCCGTATTACAATGTGTGTACAAATCTTTCTGGGACACCTGAATGTGTACAACTAAATGTATTAAGGTCATCCTGTACTCCACTCATACCATATGTGAGGTTTGACTTGTTATATGTATGGAAAGAAATTCAGATAAATTTATATTCTAAATACACCCCTGCCACACAAGAATGAAATGAAGTAACAATTATTCAAAACAACCAACAGTATAATAGCAAAAAGAACACTATCTTTTACAGCACTTACATTATATTTTTAGGAAAAGTTGTCCACTAGACCATGAACGTTTAACACTGTGCGACCAGACTTTCCATAACTTTTATAGCTTCCTATTCTCATTGTATGTCTCTCACTTTCACCCACAGATTTCTTACTTCTGCAGTAGACAAATGATAAACAAAATAATATAGCATGCAGAGCTCCCAACACTGTATCACAAATGTTGGATATTAGAGCATGCATATATTCAGTACACGAATGACCATTTTTCAGATATTTAAATTTCATAGAACTATATACACACACAAAAATGCACATGTGCGCACACAATCACACACACACAATGCAAAAGATCTGGCTTCAGATTGCAAAACAAAATTTTAACTATTTGCTACAGTGATCAAGTACACCAGATTTTATCCTCCCTTACTGTGATGAAGACTTGTTATGGACTTATTGGGTGGGCAGCACTTACTCAATATTTTTCTGAGTGTATCCTCTCAAGTTTCTGCAAACTCTTGCATGCTTGAACAAAGTTCGCATTTTATACCATATACTTTTGTCACACATCTACCATCTACTGCTTGCATCATGGTATGTATGAAATTTACATGATGGATTCAAAGATAACATAAAGGTTCCTTGAGAAAACAGATTCTGATGTCAGTTCTAGTGGCGGCAAGCAAACATGAGTACACTGACCCCCACACAATTCAGTACCAGCAACAGCTCTGAATTTAAAATGGTGCTACAACTGAGAATACAGCCATCTTCACTTGGAAATATAAATGTATATCTAATTTTATAGTTCTGCCGTTTTCTTGTTTTTGTCCATTTAACACTTCATCAACCACATCAGTAACACCAAATAAGATCTGACAACATGACTACAAATGTTGAAATGGAAAGGATGTGAAATCAAGTAATCATAAGGATGGAGGTACAGATAAAAACCACACAAAAGAAAATTAGAATAATAGCAAGCATAAAAAGAAGAGGAACTTGGATAACTGTTTACAAAATTGAATATACTTCCCTTACAAGTGAATCCCTACTTTCATTACTGTCCGCTGTTATCGACAACATGGAGAAGTTCCAAACAAATTGACATACATAGCATAAGCATGATCAACCTTTAGAAGAGTGCGAACCTTACTAGTAATCAGAAAGGTGCTTACTATGTAGGGATCAAATTATTCAATAATCTTCCAGGTGGCATTAAATGTTCAAATCATGATACACACACACCCAAAGCATTCATATTCATATGATGATGTTCCACCCCTTGGTTTGTACTATGAAGAATCTACTGTGTGTAAATAATTCTAATACTCAAGTCTTTGGGCAATTCAAATGCAGGACTATCCTAACACAAAGGAGTAATTTAAATCATTGCATAATAAAGTACTAGTTAAATTAGGCAAAGGCTTCCTCCCACATCCATTGCAAATCATTATTCATGAGTTCCAGCTGAGTTTTATCTCTGATTAACTATGTGCATTGGAAGCTAAACTGACATGGCAATATACTTTGACTTCAGGTACTCAGACTACTTCTACCTGGTAAAAAAATAAAAGTTACCTCCACTAATAATAATAATAAAAATTCAGGAATATGTAGAATGAAACTTAAAATCAAATTTAAATTTCAGTCTTATTTACCAACCTGCAATACAAGTTATACAGTACTTCATAAATGTATTCAATATGCTTTTCATCTACATTTATATATTGAATGAACTAGTCAGCCTCAATTTTAACTCTGTAATCTGTCAAACAACTCACATTTCCCCCCTTGTTATCAACCACATCCCCATTCTTAAACTGAGTCATCACTTTGTTTACCTTCCAGACAGCCAGTAAAGTGAATTCATAATGAAAATGATCTCAATTTAGTGTTGAGCAAAAATACCAACACAGTAACCTTAACAAAACATAGAAGCAGTCTGGAAGACCATACTAGCTGCAAACGTTTGGAGCACCATATTAGGTAAGGACTGAACACCAAGATCATAAACCCTTCTATCAAAACAAGACATCCACAACATAGGAATCAAGCATAAAAAACAACAACACATTTCTACTCACTCCTTCACAATATTAATCGGGGGAAGCTGTACTAAACTCCGAAATACGTCTTTCAATATGTCACAGTATGTTTAACGGTTTTACCTGATTCTTACCTTGCCATAGACTTCATATAACACTTCATCAACAAGCTTTATTTTGAACGTATCTGAGAACATCTCATCACCTGAAATATCATATGATTAATTAGCAGTGGGAACGAAGTACAGTGGAAGGAATGACAAAACATAAATAAAAGTTTAAAACAGGCCAAATTATAAACACAAGGAAGGATACAATACAAACATACGTGTAGATTTAAGAAAAGCCTTAATTCACGATCACTGAAACAACATACAATGAACTGTCAATCTTAACAGCAACACACCTAGATACAACCTAAGTACAGGAAAACTTAACTTTCACGATATAAATTTCAGAAATGCAGTAAACACAAAAATAATATTTTCTGCAAGTACAAATCATAAATATTAATAATTACCAGTAAAAATGTCCTTGTAAAGCCTCATTATGGAAGATGGTTCGAGATTTGATAACACAAGCACCAGACACAACGTTCGTCACCCTGTTGAACGAACCGGAAAAGGCCTTTATCAGAAACTGCACTGCCCAGGCGTGTTAGGTACTTCCTGTTTGTGGTAAATTCCACGGCAAAGCTATGCACTACCCCACACAGTAATCACCATGGACAGAGATAATACTAACTTGAATCTACGGATGACTTTCCAGTGGTAATCAAAAGCAAATACCCTACCATCTATTTACAATAAAAAAATACTCCTCGGGTATATTAGTACTTCCTGTTTATGGTAATTTCCATGACGAAGTCATCCTCCATGGTATGTTAACACCACCTACTCGGTAATCACCATGGACACGATAATTAGTACACAATACTGTCCGATACCAACGTGCTGCCACCTCTTAATAAAATAAAAATTCAAAACAGGTACAACGAACGGTCGGTCACCAGGTTTACAACTATTTAACCTTCTTACTCTCTCTCCAACCAAAGCAATTCATGTTGGAATTCTGGCATTGCACGCATGTTTCATTGAAAAAAGGCTGGCAATAGGATGTCGAACACGTCATAACAATACAATATATATAAGTACATTTCAGAAGATGGCCGTCCTCTGGGATGTTGCACCATGTAGTCTGGTAGAAGATTACTGATGTTTCAGAGGTCCCTGATGATAAAGGCAGCAAGGACCTCTGAAACGTCGGTAAACTTTTACCAGACTACATGGCGTAATACCAAGAAGACAGCCATCTTCAGACTCACTGTCATGAAAACCTCAAATCCTACAACCATCATAAAGATTTCACAAAAAGGTGATTTAGTGTACAAAATGACAATAAGGTTAATTATAATGAAGTTTAATGTATATAAATAAACTGGTTTAACTCATCTCAATTTACTCATATCCATTAAACGGAGAAAGCTAATTTCTTCAGCAATATCATTATGTAACAATTTATTTTCATTCCACAGATCCATCCTAAAACATACCAAGATATAGCACATACAAACATAATACCAACACAAATACATAGTTGTTTTGATATTCACATAAATATTTATAATATCTTAAGTTTTAAATTGCTGTAAATTATTCTACAGGACAGGAGTGTGATAAAGGTAATCCTTCAATGCTGGCTTAAATAATTTTCATGATTTATGCTTTTGTCATTACAGTAGAACACAACCAAATAAAGCACAATTTATTTGTATTCCACTGATCCTTCATAGGTTCAAGGCAAGGATGTAGAATATGTTGTAGCACAAGCACAATACTTCATACTTGTTTCAAAGCATGCTGATCTCAGTTTAGAGATAACAACTGAAGTTACTGTCAGTTTCTAGGCCAAGAAATTTAGTTTTCTGTTTCTTCAACTGTTTTATCATACTGCTGTATACTAGCCTAACACAATGTTTGTGGTAGTACAAAATTTCCATTGATTTGTCAAAATTTAATGTGAGTTTATTGCTTTAATCCATTTTTCAAGCTAGCAATGATATCATTCATGAAAATTTGGTAACAGTCATTTTCTGGATGTGAAATAATATATATTAGTATCATTTACAAAATGTATGGGTTTAAACTGAGTTAATGGTTGGGGCAGTTCATTGATACCTATGAGGAAAAGTGGAAGGTCATGAGGAACTCCATGTTTTATAATGCCCCAGTTTGAATTGAAGGGCACCCTCATGCCCTTGAGGTTCTCACGGCAGTGATACCAATTGTGGTTTTCGTGTAATCACCATGGCATCATAACTCATGTACACCGCCGCCCGAGCTATGGTGGAAATAAATTATATAATCTGTAAAGACAATTAGTTCCGCGCAACAGCTATTCAACTTACATAGTGGTATTTATGAAGAAGAGTTCATGTGTATTGGCCAGGATACCTGTCAACAGTCTGGCAGGCAATTGCTCTAGCTCATTTAGTGTTATCCAGGGTGCACCACGAGGAAGCGAGCTAGAAAACTGCCTGGGCAACAAACTGGGCCGAACTAACTCCTCCTGATGTAAACAGTCATATAAATCCTCAGAAATTACCAACGGGTCAAGACCTTCCTCGACAAACATGGAAAACCCTTAATAGGATCCGCACCGGCCACGGTGTATGCACAGACGTCTTTAACAAATGGGGAAGAATTCAAACAGCCAACTGTGACTGTAGTGCGAGTCATCAGACCATCAAATATAATGTACAGGATTGCCACCTGAGGGCATATCCAGGGGAACAATCGGATTTCTTCCTAGCCTCTCTACCAGCACTTGAATGGATTGCCAATTTTGACTTAAAATTATAGTACTGTATTCAAGTATATTATATTTGTAATGTCTATCGTATTCTTGTATTTCATGTGTTGTAATATAGCCATAAGATATGTATGTATGTAGTGGTATTTGTGGCTTACGTAGTAACATCTATATTCCATTTATAGAAACTAATAATATGGGAAATTCATTTATTCTCAACAGATGTCACAGGAAATTATCAGCGGTCTCTGTAGTTCGGAGTTGCACATCTGTACTATGTTTTGACGTCGTACGAAATACGTAGTTGAAGATGTTTTGTTATGTGTAATGGTATACATTCGCTACGAAGGTCGAATTTAAAATCACTAAATAAAGGAGTGGAACATCTTTTATTTCACGTATCTGGAGACGTTTATGTACTGTGAAAGAGTTGGTACGTACTTCTTATTTGTTATGCACATTACTTTTGACATTGATAATATGAACATTTAGTTAGGTAGGATGCTTGGGTGATTTTAATCGTAGTTGGTTATGTACTTATAAATGCGTTGGGACAATTACCACCCTAGAAATAAAGGGAGGAGACAACAATGATTTGTTCTTAGACCCATTGATCTTTCTTACGGGATTATATAAGGTATACGAAAGCTTGTGTGTGTGTCTGACATTTTTATGTGTATTGATTGGGTTTTGATCTGTTCACAGAGTGATTTAGAAATGCATATCATTCTGTTTGCAGTGTAGTAAGTTGGTGAGCTAATATATTTAATGGGATTTTTTATCTTGTTTGAAATTGGGCTATCTATCTCTGGAAGAAGATAATTTGATAGTACCAATACCAAAATCTGTCATTAAACATGATCCTGAACTAGTTCAGCGAGTTCACATCCTCAAAATAAGTGTCTGTAAGAGCCATTTTTTGTTAAGGGTAATAAACATTCCGTAGCACAACTTGCTTTGGAGGGGAAGTAAAGCCGGCTGTATCTCCTGATTCACTATTAGATGGCTTTAGCAAACAAATTAGAATTTAGTAGAAATTGTGCAGAGGCAGTGGGCTTGTCACTTACTACTCATAAATGCACACTTCAGAGACATAGAAACTTCCCACGTCGGAGGAAGCCAAGGCTCAACTTTGGGCTGTTGCACCATAGAAGAAGAAGATCCATTGTAATGTCCCTTGGCCTCCTTACTGGTTTTTCTAGTTGTTGCTTTCCAGGTAGTTTTTTCTATCAGAATTTTGTATGTTGCTCTATGGGAGGTACATGTTTATCCCATCTTAACCTCCTTCCTTTTACTACCCTGACACTGGGGGATTAAAAAATCTTGAATTTTCACATTGTATAATACATTCAGAAAATAAGGAAACTTCAATTTTCTGACATGTGGATGGCAACGTACTGCTCATTCACTCAGAAAAGTGCACATTTATTTCCTGTAAGTGCCAGTGACTAATGTATCAATTACAATGTACTATATGGAACTTCTTAACTTATCGGTAAACTGTTGTAAGTGCCCCCTTTTGTTATAAGTTATGCCTCAAATTGTCTAAACAACATTTGGAACACTTTCTGGAGTTTAGCCTTGATAATTGAAGCAGTGGCATGTTCTTTAAATCTGAAGAGTTTCTGCAGTGCTAGAGTTATTCTTAAACACTTTTTCCTTCAGGCTTTTCCAGAGATAAGAGTTACAGTAAGTAAGACTGGGAGACCTAGGAGGCCACATTTCTTTGCTGAGGATTCTGTTATCAAACACTTTACATATAGCATCTGTAGAATTGTCAGCAGGATGACTGCTATATTCCTGAAAATATCCATAACTTCTTTCTTCATCTGTCATTTGATGAAAGAGGAGATTCAATATGTTTTTCACACACTTGTGTGACACATTGGGTGTTGGCTCTGTGCCCATCTTCAGGTTATTTTCATGAACAAATCTTGGACTTTCCAAATGCCAGGCTATAATGCTAACCACTAGACCACTGGGGTGGCTCACAAATGGTTGTAGTTATAACTCTACTAATGTTACACATCCAGTTTTCAAACTCTGTTGTGTAGGGAGCCATATGGAACTGAAGTCTATGCTTGGTTGATTGTTGGCCTGTTATGTTGTTCTGGTGAATACCAACTTTGTTTTCTAATGATTCTCTTTCTTGCTTGTGTATGATTTTTGCCTTATTCTATTGTCCTCTGTGGTCCTCATCATATGGATGTCTTGCTGTTTTGGACTTCAATATTTCTCCTGTTTTTATTTTTATGTAGCATTTGTATTTGGTGATTTGGTGATAAGTGGGAAGAAATATATAGGAGAGACAGGAAAACATGGGAGAAACACTATCACCACATGATGTAGGGTCTTGAAAATATGCATAGTAACACAGCTTCAAAAAATATTTTATTTTGTTTTAGAATGTGTAAAATGATAATATGATAGGTGTGTGAATATTAATGATGTCAGGCATTAATAGGAATTTAATTGTGATGATACTTTTGTTTTGTCTTTGTTATGTATGCATTGCGTTATTTTTAAGGGAAAATGTCCATGCCCTTTTCAATGTCCAAATGTTTGATAAAATGACATCTTCATGTAGCAAAAATGAGGTAGAAGTTGCAATACCAGTATGACATTCATTACCAGGTGTGAAGTGTGATTGAAGATTGGAATCAATGCCCTACATCCTAGTGAGGGGCAATCTCTCTTCTTATGGGCAAGATTACCCATGGCGAGTACTTGTTTCAGGCTTAAAAGGTAGGTCTTGTAGTTATAATATAATATATATTGCATAATATATATAAATTTGTAGCATTACTATCTGAAAGAAAACTACACTCTGTTTCTAAACATGTATTATTCTTTTCCTGTCAGGGCTTGGCCAAGTGGCCTGTTCCAGCCATTTCATCAGTCTTCTTGGCTTTCATTTCAATTTAGATTGATGTTTTATCAAGATCTTGGGGAACTTGTATCCTCCATCTTTTGTATGTGGTGTGTTGATTTTTTCTTGTTCCTATATATTGAATTAGATTTGATATTGTCTTCATTTACTCAGTTTTTTGTTTAAATTTCTTTGAAAGGGTATCACAAAACAATTTTTCAATAACAATGCTATGCTTTCTGATTGATGATACTGTAACTTGAGTGATACACAGTAAACTCTGGTTTTAATAAATGATTGGAGATCCCAGATTTTCATTCTCAAATCTGAAAGTTTATCACAATGACAGTTGTTCATCTGAAACATAAGAAAAATATATCTAAATAATTAAAATGATTAGGAAAAGAATAGGCTTTATGTAAACAGTTGTTTAAATATGTTGAATGTTGCATTTTGCATTGTTTGACTGTGTTGCTGAACATAATGCATGTATGAATGCTTCTAGTTCTGTTCTTTGGCCATTATTTTCCACATATTTATTTAAAACACAAGAAAGAGCATATATGTGACAGTAAGCTAAGTTTGCATTGTAGCAGACAGAGATTGGCACCTGAAAATGCTTTTCCCCAGGTGGGTTACCCCTGGGTATTATCCAACCATCACTAGATGGCTACTAACAGGGGTGAATCTGACCATTACAATTCAAATAGTCATTGGCATGAATTTTATATGTTTACAATATATTTTACTCTGTTTATATTGGTTAAATGTAATCTTAGTTTCTCTTTACCTTATGTTCCTGGCTGTCCTCTAACCTCTCAGTTCCTCTAATAAATATACACCAAAGTCATGTGTCACATAGCTAGTTCAGTCTGTGGAATCACTTGTGTGGTTAATGATGAAGATAGTCAAAATAGTTTGATCGTCTTCCACAACTTATTCATGATGGTGCACTCTCACTGACAGGGTAGTTAGAATTGCAGATTTTGGGGATAAACTTCCAGCCTGGTGTCCTCTGACTCATGCCGCAAGTTATAGATTTACTCTCATTTTATAAATTCTATCCACTGACAGTGCGGTGTGTTACCAATCTTAGGTAAGTTGTTTAGCTAGCCAGACCTAATTACTTCTTTGTGAAATCCAAACAATTTTATCATTTTGTGCCTTAATAGAAAATATGGGTTCTGAAATGGATGTATGATGATGTGTCTTAAATTGTGTTTACAAACATAGACTTCACTACTTTGTGTTGTGAAACTAAACATATCTCGATGTGGATAGTACAAGTAGCAATTGGTTTACTAGAATAGTTGCAAGTATTTAAATTGGTTGGTTGCACTGATCTATAGGATTAAGGTAGTCACTTAAAATGGTGTTGCAGAAATTATATTCATATCAGCAGTTGGTAGGTAGGGCCAGTTCAAAAAATTTAAGTATAGCTGTATGATTATATGTACTTAACAGCATGATTATGAGAATTGTATAGGGATTTTTAGAAGTGTTTGTTATAAAGTTTTGTGTAAAATTTGATAGCTTGGTAAACTGAAGTTTCTTCAAATAAGAGTTTACTGTGTATTTGTTAAGTTTTTTGCAATTAAGAGGAATGGTAGTGTTGTTATTTTTATTTGATTTCCTGTGAATGGTATGAATGTGCAGCCTTAGATATATTGTAACACAAGATTTTTCACTGATACATCCATTGCTTTCTTTCTCTTGGGTTCAGCTTGTTTATTTTTGGTTTTTATTTTTTTATTCTTAATAAATTCGTTCTTCAGGTTGTCTTCAGCCCAGCGAACTACTACCACTACTATTGTTATTCTTGTAGAAATTAATTAGGTATGAAACCAAAAGGAGTAAGTGGCAGTGTTTTTGGATTGCTTTTCTCATGATTGGCAGGAATCAGGAAGCATGATTCCTGATTTCCACTTTTGACTTTTGTATGATACTATATTGAACATAATATTGTAATATGGAAATAAGAGGTGACAAAAGATACATCTTCAACAGACTGATCTTCTGTTACTAACCATTTTGTTATTAACTAGTGTAGGTAAGCTTTCACCATATTTTTCCATCACTTAAAGTTTAACACATTTTAAAGTATTGATTATATGATGTATAATGCATAAGCATGCCAGTAACATGAGCACCCAGTGCATTAGTGTAAATTGAGTCACATTTCAGGTAAGTTTATCTTTTGATTTATTAAATTGGCTTGTCAGACTGAACACTATTAGTGTAAAACATTGTTGGCAAGCAGAGATGTAACAAGATACAGTATTCGTTTGGGGTTCTTCATAAATGACAACCGTGATTGACCTATTTTTCTAAATATAAATTGGTACAGTACACTCTTGTTGCTGAGTTGTGGGTGGCCCACAGATGCAGACTGTACTTCCCTTTTGTTATGTATAAACTCGTATTCCGTAATTTTATATTAGGTTACTAAATTCCTTTTTCAGTTTTGTAGTTTAGGACTTATAATTCTGAAATGGCCAAATTTATAGAATGTGTAGTTTTCAGTGAGTTTTGAGTTTAGGTGTTACTTACTTTTTAAATCATAGTTTAGGATGGAAAAATTTGAACTGGGAGCATTAATATCCCAACTATCACTAAGGAAGTATTTTACTTTTCATAACAGTTTTCTTCATATGTTGTACATTTTGAGTTTTACTTTGTCATGACTGATGTGTCTGTGAAGCTGTATATGTATATTTTATAATGAATCTGAATAATAATGAATTTTCCCATCAGTGAGTGAAATATCTGTCTTCTGTGTGTTTCAATACGAAATTGAAGTGGATAATAATGGCAGTTAATGGGAAGATGTAAGCAGAATAATGTTTACTGTAATTTTTACAATGGCCTGTGTAAAATTATATTATATTTCCTCACTAGCTACTGACTTACAGTAAAGAGGCATCTAATTATAGCCTTTTTGACTAGCTGCTCTTACATGCAATTGCATTTATTCACAGTTGTGTCCAAGTATAGAAGACATTTTTAAACAATCTGAAGAAGAAACATTTCACTCTCCAAGAAAAATATTTCTTAAAGTTGTTTCTGTAACATAATTTTGGAAATTGAAATTGTATTTCCAATATTGGCAAAAGCTGAATGCTCTAGTCATCTCATAGATGGCAGCGAGGATCTGCATTAAAAAGTGTACTCTATCTTGTTTTTCTCTTTATTAATAATTAGTATTGAACTAAGGGGAACAACTTCAGTCACTCCAGGCATGCAGATCACTGCTGGGTCAATTTTGCACCTCTGATTTTGATAGGGCCCTTCAAAGAGCACTGACCACACTGCTACAGCCTTATTAATTATAAACTAATCATTGTTTCTTGCAGTAGAAATCTGTACAGATTGTAAATCTTCAAAGATTTTAGCTATGCAAAACCAAGGACAAGAAGATTTTCCGTCACTTTGTATTCTGAAGTGGTAACAGTAAATTATTCAAACAGCTTGGCCAGATTTGTTAGGTTTATAATGTATTTGTACTTTCAATAGTGTTTTCCTTTTCAGCATGTGACATTGAACAGCTGAAAAGATTTGCATCAGGTGGTTATTGTGACGAATCTACGATTGTTTACCTGCAACATCCATGTGTTATTCTTACTGCTCTGGAAGTTTTAGGGTATGAGGTTGTTGCTTCTTCATCCACATCAATTAAACAAGACTACAATGAGTATATGTGGACTATGAGAAAAGAATTTTCAGAACCAGAACCAGTGGTCACTAAGCCAAGTAAGAATATGTAATTAGCTGTTAAGCTTGTCACATTAATGGTAAGATTTGTTTCACTTCATATTTGTATATTTTCAGAGCCATGTTACATTCAGTGCCCTCAGTTGCCCACATTAGAATATGTAAGATACTTTTATGCTCTTTGAAGAGAAACTTGGAAAATTGCACTAAAAATAATAATAATTAAGAGAAGTAACTTTTGACATAATTACATCTATATGGAAGGGTCATTCGGCAAAAAAGTGAAAGGAAACCATGTAAGATCCATATCAACAATGTGTAAATATGGACTGACAACAATGGTCAGCTTGCGTGCATTGTTATGTTACCTAAGAAACGTCATCTGTTTACTCGGCATTGTTGTGTTACATTAATGCCATCAACAATCCGCTTTCGTAATTGCGGAAAGAGCTGAGTTGTGAATCGGTTGTAGAAGAAGTGTGTCGTAAACTAGATAATTTTGTGCTGGTTAAAACGTTTTAGAATATCACAGGTACTTATCTTATATAAGAATTATTACATTATATTTCCTTACATTAGAGAGACGTATTTACGTCAGATTCTCCGGAACCGTGGTTCCACTGTTAACTTTTTTCTCTCTTAACTCTGGCATACCCAATCTGGTGTGTTCGGATAGAAGAAAAAATGTAGCAAAGTCAAGTATATCATTTGATAATGTAAAGACAAATAATTGTAAATGCTTTGGTCTGCATTCCCACATTACTAATACAGAATCAGTAGATTAACTTATGATGAGACATGAAAAGACTTCCTTGAATGAAATAGTATACATTAGCCTGTCATAGCACTGTTGCATGGACATGAATGAACTTCCATTGTAACTTCACCTTCATTGTTAATCATTTTATTTTAGGTAAGACTTCTTAGATGTAAATGAAGATAGCAAAAGTTGGAATCAGTATTTAAATATTGTGTATGTCTTCCTCTGCCTGTTTTGTATGCTCAAACCATAATGCAGGAATGGAATTAGGAAATGTAATTAGATTTGAAAGCCTGTGCAATTATGGTGTGCAGCAGTGGAGCACTCCCCATATTGGAGATGCATGGCTTAAATCTCGATGACTGACACTCCAAAGACTTATTCTTCATTTTGTCTTGTCACTTCAGGCATATGTCTGAATAATACGTTGAAAGATGTTTTGGCTGTTTTCTTCCATATCCCTCTCAACTCACTGTTCACAATTTTCCTACTGCTTTTCATTTAGCATGAAGTAAAATCACATCTAAATAAGAACCATGAGTTTTAAATTTTAACGAATAGCAGTTGTGAATTCTGGCTGTCAAAAATGTATGATTTGCATGCTGATGATGTTGATGATTGATGTGCATTGATCTGAATGATGTGGAAAGTAAATGTCTTAATTTTCTTTCAGCATTGAAGCAGTAGTCATGAACACGTCTGTTCCAACATATTACTATTTAGCAGTAAAGGGCTCTCTGCACGCAAATGACTGCTCTGTCTTTGGGTTAATTCCAGCAGAAGTTCAAGCCTTATCAAGGAGGTATCCTTCCTCAATTGAAGTGATTAATGGGATGACCATTAAGGGTAAGATTGTGTTCAGTTAACATGATTATGTGTTGTAACTAACTTTATAGAATGGAGTACTTCTTGAGAAGCTGATAGTATGCTCAGCTTGTCAAGAAATTCCCCACCTTTTACAGAACCTGAAGGTTTATTGCCTTGTTTATAAGAGGCCACCACTAGTCTGTGTCCAGAGCCATATGAATTCAATCCATGACTCCAAACTGTATTATTCCCAAACTATTTTCAAGTCTTCTGAGTGATCTCATACCTTCAGGCTTTCCAACCAAAATTTTGTTGTTGAAACCCAAGTTAAAATCATATAATAAAGATAACTGAAACAGAATGGTACCATAGGCCTGGTTATATGAATTTCCAAGTAAACTGTAAGAATAACAAAAATAAACATAATCAGATATAAACAAATACAAATATTGTCACTCTCAATGTCCCCATCTTTTTTCCACTTTTTCATGTCTTTTTAGAACGTGCACATATACAAGGAACACATAATCTGTACTCATAAAATCAAGGAGAATGTAATGGACATGGCATTTAGCATGCATGGGTGAGATGAGACATGCCTATACAGTTGAAGAATATAGTTCTAAAACTTACTCATTACATTTTTCACTTTTTGACATAAATACGTCTATATGGAAGGGTCAGTGTCATTCTGCAAAAAAGTGTTACGAAAAAGTGACAGGGAAATGTGTAAGGTGGTTACCTAGGAAATATCAACAATTTGTAAATATGGACTGACAACAATGGTCAGCTTGCATGCATTGTTATGTTACCCAGGAAACGTCATCTGTTTACTCGGCATTGTTGTGTTACATTACTGCCGTCAGCAATCCGCTTTCGTTATTGCGGAAAGAGCTGAGCTGTGAATCGCTTGTAGAAGAAGTGCGTCGTAGACTAGATAATTTTGTGCTGGTAAAAACGTTTTAGAATATCACAAGTACTTATCTTATATAAGAATATTACATTACATTTCATTTCATTTCATTACATCACATTTCATTACATTACATTTCATTTCATACATTAAATTTAATTTCATTACATTACATTATATTTCATTACATTACAGAGACGTATTTACGTCAGATTCTCCGGTTCCACTGTCCTTTTTATAGCTATCTGCAATTCTTGAAAATTTACTAAATCTTGCCTCAAAGAAATCTAGGTGACTTGGGAATAGAGGGAGGATTTTATTAAAATGAATGTTCAAAATTAGGTTATGATGGAATGACTTGATTTATCTGGATGCTGACCACTCACTCCCATCTAGTGCCCAAGGAAACAATGAGTAGGAGCTATACCATCTAATCCCCCCCCAAGTGCCTACATGGCATATAGAGGAACAGCGTTACTTTACTAGGACATGACCCACTGATGGGCTGTTGTGAACATAGCTTCATGACCAATAGAGAATTTCTTTGACTGAGTGACTTTTAACTTCTGAAGAAGGTCTCTGCTCCATTGTTATTTGCTCCAGGTGTACCAGGATGAGAATCCTATTGTAGAAACATACATGAAATTAATATGTGTGTGCCTATTTTCAGGTCCTCCAATTCAAGTAATAAATACACTGAGTGAACTTGGCTATAAAGTTATCTGCACCACTGGTGAAGCAGAAGTTGTGTGGACTCTTCAAAGAGAATTGTAAGGTTACAGCTTCATCATGCCTCATGTTATTGTGAAGGGGAATGTGGATGCAACTGAAACAAAAGTGTTTGGACTTTCACAGATGGAGTTCCAAGAAGTGAAAACAAAACTGAAAACATATGGAGGTCGGGTTGGACAAGATGGACACACATTCACACACCCACCTCTTCAAGTCTTGGATGTGCTACAGATGTGTTGTGGTTATACAATGATAACATCATGTGGTCATGGAGACCAGAATTGTCCTATCTGGACACTGCATCACCCATTTTTCTAGGTTGAATGTGCCAGATTTATCAGAAATATAAATAAATGTGTATATATTTCAAAACTGAAATATGAATATTTCGTGCAGTCGGAGGTTTTGCAGTGTATCACAGAATTAGTTTTGTATTGGTAAGTTTATATTGTCTTTAAGTATGCATACAGTATTTGGATGGGTTGTTTTGTGGCTTTGAATTGAATTGCATACTTTTCTTATAAGCCATTTTGATATAATCATTCTTTTTAAATATTCAGTGTATATTTTTTGGTAGATTGTGATAGAAGATGACATTAGTTTCATAATTCTTAGGTCACGTATTACACACACATGACATAAGATGCATTAGTGGTGTTAATAATGTATCTTAACATAAATGAAACTAACATATAAATGTTTTAAAATTTAGATGTAGGATTGTGGAAGGTTAAGTGCTTAGTTGGGCTGTCTTCCTAACGATAATGCATGGAGCTGACCACTTACATTTGTGTTTTGCCAAAGTCGAGAATTTTTGGACTTGTACTTTCATACATCGTCATGGCATAGTATTAATTAAACATGAAGCTAAGTTAAATGGTGACAGAAAAGTGCAGTACTTGACACCTTATCTGGAAAGCCTGCGACCTAAGGCTTTCCTGATTTTAAGATTTTCTGGATTTGGGATCTTTATCCAGAAGAATATGTTGAGGTATGCTATCTCTATAATTTGCAGTTTATTTTTTATGAGATATACATAAACCTCTTAAATCTGGGGTGGCATCACCTTCATTGTCTGAAAATGCCTAAAAGCCCAAATGCCATATACTGAGTAAACATGTGAAAACAAACAAGCTGTCTTCTACTGGCAGTAAGAAGACCAATGACAGTGGTGCCACTCATACATGGTGGTGAGTCAAAGAACTGCATAGCATCAGTTTTAAGCATGGCAGGCATAAGAAAATGCCACTATAAGCAGTCCTTGGGATATATACAGATTTTAGGTTCTAACTTTTCAGATACTAGATATGGGATCTGACACTGTAATTGTAAAAGATCATGTTACACATCACAAAATAATATATATCTATATAAATAAAATTATATAGTTTCTACCTAAAGCTTAGTATAGTGACTGACTATGGACTGGACAGTCAGAGTTCAATCCCCGATGAGCAGAGAATTTTTCCTGTATCATCTACATTCAGATCAGCTCTGGGGAAACCTCCTATCCAATGGGTATCAGGGTCCTTTCCCTGGGGTAAAGTACAGCTCAAGCGTGATGCTGGCCATTCACCCCTATTTGGTGCCGAGCTTACGAATGTCTCCTAAGCACCTACATGGCATGTAGTGGGACAGCTTTCCTTTTGACGTAAATACGTCTATACGGAAGGGTCATTCTGCAAAAACAGCGTTATGAAGATGTGTAAGATCCATACCAACAATGTGTAAATATGGACCGACAATGGTCAGCTTTTATATGAACTACGTGCATAACAATGCAAGAAAAAGGATTCAAATTTCTAACACGCCTGCAACAATATTGGCTGAGCATGCTGTAAGGCTCTTTTCTCATTTATTATGCATGCTGTATAATTGCCTGAATAAACTGTATTGCAGTCCACTCCTTTACCTAAAAAACTAATTATGTCATATGTTTATTCAGCATTGTTGTGTTCATTACTGCCGTCAACAATCCACTTTCGTTATTGGCGAAAGAGCTGAGCTGTGAATCGCTTGTAGAAGAAATGCGTTGTAGAGTAGATAATATTGTGCTGTTAAAAACGTTTTAGAATATCACAAGTACTTATCTTATATAAGAATTATTAAGAAATCTGTGATATGCCCTCCACACTCTCCATTTTAGTTTTGATTAAATTGATTATTGCCGGTGGACATCTTGGTCTCTTACAATTGAACAAAGTTTGAGGTAAGGGATTCCTATTTATTATTATTGTTCATCACATTTAATGTTTTCATCTGCATTTGTGAACTCATGTAAGAGAATTAGTCTTGTCTTCTTTTGATGTAAATACGTCTATACGGAAGGGTCATTCGGTAAAAACAGCATTAGTTACGAAGATGTGTAAGATCCAGCGCCAAGTCACCTTTAAACGTTCATTCCTCAGGAATAGTAAGAGTAAGGGTAATGTAACCTATGGGATCTGGACATATTGCATATGAAATACGTATTACCTCTTGAGTTTTACATATCACAAATGGTTTAGGTTCTACAAACATTTATTTATACAAATAAAGGCGCATCTCACTTCACGCTACTGCTGCATTCGTGTGTTGCGTCTTACTATGTAGAGATAATAAGATGGATGACATTGAAGCTAAAAGAGTCCGTAATGCAGAATATATGAGATAGTACAGAAAATGTAAAAAAATAGAAGTATTAAATAATGAACCTGAAGTTCCCAAAGAAATACCAAAAACTAATGCTGAATGTATGAGGGAATATAGAAACCGTAAGCCGCTAACTAATGCACTGTGTATGAGGGAGTATAGAAATCACAAGAAGCAATTATTGCAAGTTAATGCTTCCACATCATTAGCAAGTATATCGTTCCTACAAGAATCGCACAACCAAGGTATGACAATGCAACAGAATATTTTCATAAGCTTTTTAATGAAAATAGATTTGTATACGCTTGCAATGTGTGTGATCGGTTATGGTTTGAAAACGATTTGAAACAAGTTACTGATTGCCATTTAGATATATTGGGTACAGAGTACGTATTTACGTCAGATTCTCTGGAACAGTGGTTCCACCGTCAATTTTTTATACTGTATTAGATTCTCCATGTGAATTCTGTTACAGGCTCTAGAATTATGTCGGATTGCCACAGTCATGGTCATTGTTCTGTCAGCACTTCTTCTTTGTGTCAGACATTAGATGAACTTGATTTTGAACGAGGAATTTGGTATGCAGGTAAGTTTCAGTGAAAAAAAATCCTATGAATAGGTTTGAATTGTACCAGTCTGATTAGTTACAAGTACTTCAAATGTTTGTAGTTATCAGGATTAATGGTCATGTAATTTAATGTTTTTGTTGCTCTGTTACCACACTTGGCTGTTATTTGTATTGCAGCTTTTTGGTGCAGAACAGGTGAGTAATTATAGGGATAAATTCTGACCAAAATTGATTTGAAAACCCAAATAGTATTTGGTGAAGAACACAAATTATGAAGCTCTTTGTAATTCTCTCCAGCCTTCTTCTTCATTCATGCTAGACTGTATTATTCCCTTAGGGTTAGTTTTTGAAGTATTCTAATTTTAATATCGGATATTTTTCTCTATACCTTAAAAGTACAATTGTTTTCTAACTTTTAGCTCAACATGATGACCTAGAACGTGTTCAGAAGCTGTTGAGACAAGGTGTATCTCCAGATATTAAGGATACTGCTGGCTATTGTGCATTGCATTATGCTGCTCGTGCAGGTCATGACCGCATCTGCCATTGTCTTCTGGCTGCTGGAGCAACGTGGGATGCGGTTACAAGAGCAGGGCAGGCTACTGCTCTTCATCGAGCCGCCTCAGCTGGTCATAATTCCATAGTAACCTTGTTGCTGAAAACTGGTAGCAATTCAGGACTGAGAGATGCTGATGGAAAAACAGCTTTGCACAGGGCTGTTGAACAAGTTCATGTTAGCACAGTTAAAATTCTCTTGGAAGCAGATCCTGACCTCAGATTTATCTCTGACTTGAAAGGGAAGTTGCCATTAGATTATGCTGCAAAGAATGACGAATTGGTTGCTTTGCTTGTTTGACGGGTTATGGCATATTACCATCTAACTAATGAATAAAGATTGAAGTAATATAGAATGTATAATATGTGAGTGTTTACTTGATACTCTTGTATAGTTTATGAGAGTATGTGAAATGTCAGGAACAATCTGACTGATTTCTGTCAGCGGTTTTTATGAGGTTAATGCAGTCATGTACAGCAGTTATTATTGTAGTTCAGAATACTTGTTTGATTCTTAGTTACTTCTGATTAAGTGGTTGCTTCATTACTGTCATTCTAATTATATTCAGTATTTGTGTTGTATAAACATGGTAATTGTTCAATGTTGCACTTAAAATTATCATAATTATATAGACTTGAAAAGTTTGATGGATTGGCACGATGTTTTTCATGTGGTAAACTTGTTAATAATGCATGAATTTGTTCTTAAATTTTTAATAAATAGTCCATTTCTGTGAATGACTAATCTCTACCATTTTGAGAAGCATATATGGAAGAGTTAACAGATTTTTACAGACATTATAGGGATTCAGTAACTTCATCTTTACTGAGGAAATTGTTGTAATTGAATGTGTAGGTAAGAGAGGTGGAAATTGGTCTTATATGTTGAATAGTTGAACAAAATGAGATGTGGGAGAAATACTAAGGGGTTGTCTGCATTTTGGAATAGATCATTGAGAGTATCTAATCAGGTCCTTAATGTGAATGTTTACTTGCAAGTAAATCAAATATAAAATGTTATCTAGGGTTTTTCTAAAGTACAAGTGCTTTCAAGTTTATTTCGTTGTGATTTAGCAGAATTGTAGTAAGGTATTTAACCCAGTAAAACCCCAAATTAATACAGTTGCATTGATTATTTCACAATTCATGTAATTGTAGTCTGATCAGAAATCTGTCCATTTGGAAGCAAACTGGATCATTCAGGGAGGATGCTGGAACCAAATGATATTTACTTATATGTCATTTGGTGAGTGTTATTTTGGTTTGTACAGATGCATGATTTTTTGCCTTTGTATATGCAATATACTTTGATTAGAAACCCCCCCACTGGGAGGTACACTAAATTTGTGGACATAAAGTTGTGTGTGGGAGTGACAAATATTTGCCCAGTGCACACTTACTATGAATAGATTGGAGGTAACATTTTATTATGTGGAAATTAGCATGACATTAAAGTATTCTTGTTTTCCACCAACATGAACACTAAATATGAATATGTGAAGTTTTAGCTGTTTATAGAATAGCTTTTCAGTTTGTATCACTGAAGCGTATGATGTATTTGTCTGTGTGTTTTTATGGTTGTTACATGTTGTTTGATGTCAGATAATTTTTTTTTATTTTGGAAATGTATTTAATAGGTTATTTCAGTGTTAGGTAATCTCATATTAATTAATGTGAAATGTGATCATGCAAGGTACTACTTGGCCTTGTTAATTTTTAATATGCAAAGTATGTGAACTAATTCAAGATTTTGTGGTGGTACCTCTATCTGGAATCAGTGAATCCTTGACTTCAAGTTAGATTATTGCCACTCTTTGTTGTATTCCTGTCAGAGTTTATTGAGCCCTTGGCCACGAGTAGAAGATACAAGTGAAACTTCGTAAAGAAGGAATTAAAATCTGTAAATGAATCTAGTTAAGGCAAAGTTTAAGATTTTAAAGCCAAGAGATCAGTACTTGAGATTAACAGTTGAGTGAATGTATATAGGCAAGGGGTGCATACAGGATTTTGGTAGGGAATCCTTCTGGAAGATGACCACTGGACAGACCAAAAAAGGAGATGGAAGGATAACATCAAGATGGATCTTAGGGAGGTGGGCTATGAGAATGGCAAGTGGATGGAGTTGGCTCAGGATTATGGCTGGTGGCGGGCTTTGGTTTTGAACCTGTGGGTTCTGCTACAACAGAGTTAGTGAATGTATATGGAAGTAGAAATGCTGGAAGTATGTTGAGAATGAAGTACCCACACAGAACATTGTAAAGCTGAGTCATAGTTCAGATAACTATTCAGAATGATATGCGAGACAAAGTTGCGTTGGAATTGTGCCATTTTCAGATAGTTTCATGTCAGCCACAGTGAAAACACCCCAAATCTAAACTCAGCATACCATATATCAATTGGTGGTTGGCCTTGTTTGTCTTACTATGCTTTTTCTTAACAAATATAATTATATTTTGTTTTTAATTTAAATGGTGAGAGTAGACAGTGACGTACAGGAACTATAACTGACGATCATGAAATGATACTGTAATGTTACTCTTAACCTTTAAACAACGGGGATTTAAATGGCAAAGTGGAAGCAGCCCTACAGAGTTTTTTTTTGCAGGTTTTTAAACTTTTGTGCACGCTCTACAGAAAACTTTAATATTATCTAAAGTAAACATGATAAATTGATGAAATAAAAGTCATATTTATTCGAATAGAACAGAGAATACATAGTTTTTTTTTTAAAAAAATGCAGTTAATATCTTAATTGCCTAAATAGGCCTTAGTAACTTTACTTTCTTCTTTGGAAGCTCATCCGACATGGTAGAAGCCATGGTTGTGAACTAATGACCACACAGAAAAATTTGTTTCCCCTACTTCAGTGGATACACATTCTTTTCACCCATCATGCCGAGGAATGTGAGAAGCTTTGAATAGGGGGTCTAAAATGAAGCCCAAACCCACTTCACAGTAACTGTTTATTGTTATAGTTCCCGGGTTGACAGCTCAGGTTGAACTTGTCAGAACCCTAGAGAAAGTGATTCAATATTTGCAGCCCCTAAAAGAGGCCAAAAGACGTAGCCAAGTCTACTTACAATGTTGCAAGTTTTGAGTTCCGCACAAGGAACGTTCGTAGGGCTGAATACACAACTTACGTCCCAGACAAGGAACGCTAGTAAGATAAAGGTTAATGATTGTAATAATGATTTGGAATGTCACTCATGTCAATAAGGAAATCAATATAAATGGTTTTGTTAATTAACACACTTTACATAATTCTTGAAATTGCTGTAAATTAAATCCTGCAATTTGAAAGCTAATACTGGAACTCTGTTTCTGTGAATGTACTTGGCAAATGTTTAAATATATGCAGGGGCTAATTTAGTAATCTGGGTTGTGATTATAATTGTATTGTCAAAGATACTAAATTGTAGCCACACAGGCAAGTAATGTATCACAACTTAAAAGTATAAATAAAATGACAATCCTAATTATTCTGATGGTACCAGTATTTGACAAGTGGGAAGTTTTATTTATAATTAATAGAAATAAAATTATTTTTAGTTTGTAAATATTTGCAAATCAAGTAAATGTTGGCATTAATTGTATTTTAGGTTTCTAACATTGTACTGGTACAGAAATTGTAAATACCAATATGTCTGGGTTACTTCTTGAATATTTATGTAATTTTATCTAGTCATTATGTACAGTTGTTTTTAAAACTGTTGTGTATACCATGAGAAATGGTTTTCAGTGTCTTATGTGGCTACTTCACATACAAGTTTCTAAAGATTTCATTTGTAATCAGTGTTCATACATTAGGCAAAATCAGTTTTTTATTTTATAGTTTATCAACTCTGTGCATTATGTCATAGGAACTGTCTTTTTACATCATATGCATCTCCTATTTCAGTCCAAGTTACCTATGTAGTCCATCCACTTTAACTATCCAAACAGTTCTAAGTGAGCATTATAAATCGGAGGATTCATAATTTCGTACCTGAAAATTCAGAGCTTAATATCTCTTTGGACAGGGAAGAAAGAAAATTAACATTCACAGAATAAAGATCAGGGTCACTGTGGTACAGGACATCAGGCAGTAAAATAATGAAGCACAGTCATGAATGTAGGATTTGAGGTTTTGACAGTGGTGAGTCTGAAGACTGCTGTCTTCTGGGTTGTTGCACCGTGTAGTGTGGTAGATTTCCACCAGACTACATGGCGCAATAACCCAGAAGAGAGCAATCCACAGTCATGAACTCTTGAATAGGGGAACATATATCTATGAACAGCTTATCCCATTCAAATCTACTCCTGACTAAATAAAAGAATTTTACTCATTAAAAGAACTGCATAATAAGTTATTTGTATCTTTGAACTTTTGAACATAATGGGTAAAACATTAAACTATCACAGAGCTCATTAAATAGTCTCATTCTATACAAAACTTTCAAAGACTTGAAATATTGTCTCATTCCTTTATGACAAATTTCTGTATTTATTTACAAATCGTTTTCAGTAATCTCATGCAGATATATCACATGTACTGGGTCTACAATTTATGAGGCTGCGGTTGTGCTTGCATTGCGTGGTCGGCCGGCGCTCTGTTGATGTGGGCGGGAGTTGTGTGCGTTCTTCCGGTGGGTGACCAGCGAATCAGTTTCAGTGCCGCTAGTAACAGCGAACTACGAATATTTCTCGTCACTAATACACGTTATTACATTAATTGTTCTTACCTTAAATCACAAAAGATGTTCAAAGTGACTTACTTGTGCTTGCAGGCAACTTCACATCTCGTTAACATGTTTCAAAATACTCGATGAATAAGAAAATATTCGGCAATTTCCCAAGAAGAGCTGATTTGCCGTTCACCCACCCGAAGAATGCGCACAACTCCCGTCCACATCAACAGAGCGCCGGCTGACCACGCAATGCAAGCACGACCGCAGCCTCAACTTGTAGACCCGGTATGTTGAAAATGTACAGTTTGTGTCTAATACACAAATTCAGTATATTGATAATTTGCTGAACAAATATGACACAGTAAATACTGATATATTTTCAAGCCAAGAATTATGTGTGTATATATTGAAATGTTCACAGTCTGAAATCACATTTTTTAAATGAATAAATATAAAACTGACATATGGTCTGGAATGGCACACTGGAGCGCAGAGTTAATACATAAAAAGTAATACTTCATAAATGTTACATATCTGAAATGTATATGTTAATTAAAAATATCTTTAATATTGTATTTAATATCTGAACAGATATAAAGGTTACTGATTCTTGTTCACGGATAATATGTATCTCAAACAGCTAATTTCTATTTTAAAGCCGTTAATTAAAAAATACATCATAGAACACAATCTTCAAACATACAAAAATCAAATCAAGTAATTACAACACTACAGCTTCAGTTAATAACCTTAGTAACAAAATCTTGATTTTTTCTCATTTTGCTGCAGTATTTTTAATGGCTTGTGTAGCTGATGGCACTGCAAAACTTGATGGGGGTTGAGGTGTCAGACTTAACTGAACATTTCGTATGTTATGAGGGTTCCGAGCAATTTTAAATGGCAATAAGGATCCAAACAAAACATGTTGAATCACTGGAAATTTTGCTAGCACCTGAAAGTGAATAAAATTACAAAAATTTTACATTCTGCAAGATGATTATATATAAGATTTTAATCACAGCATAACACATAACTGAATAACAAATTAATAAACAGAAGACCCAGTCTCTTATATGACAAGCATTTTTTATACTTCAATGTAAAAAATACACCTCAAGTTTGTATTTTAGGAGCACATGTTGAGAAGTGAACAGGCATATTATGACCTACAACTAACAGAAGTTTTACATCATCTTAGTCTGTAGTAACCTGGATTTGTTGATACCAGAAACTCTTTTTACTAATTTTCTTGGGAAAAGAAATCACAAAGGAGGCATTTAATGCATGGCTGATGGGTTGGTCAAGGGGAATATGTAAAATGCATAAATTATGTAAATGCTAAAATCAACTTCAATTTACAAGATTCACTACCATTATCAGACAATTTGGTATCAACACAGGTGGAGAATACTGAAAATAATAATCAGAAAACAGGGTGTGGGAGGGATGGACAAAAAATGTGTTGAAGTATAATATTTTCTGGAGCCTTGTTACATTACTAACCAAAGAGAGGAAGTATCAACATGGACATCCACTATCCTCACAAGGATAAAAGTATCTAAAATACATATTATGTAAAATACTGCATGGAGTTGTAGCTTAAACATTTGTTTTATGCTGTCATCTCATTTACCTCCTGTTTCAGTTACTGTATGCCATTTTCCTAACTGGATTCAAGGGCCACTTTTTATAGACATCATACAAAACCAAATATTAAACCATGTGAAAGGAAAAATAAGAGAGAAAAACACTTACTTCTGCTTTATACATTTTAATCAATCCACCATTAATTTTGGACCATGAAGGAACAGCACTGATGTTCCAAAGTTGGTTTGAGTGTTCAGCAAACAGACCAGTTTTCACCTGCAACAGAAATTCGATGTTAAACTATATTATCATGCTACTTAGAGCGTATGTGGTCAAGTGAATGTTATTAGCTTAGGACATTTAATAATAATGCATATATAATCTGTATAGATCACTTCTAAAAGTTTGCCAAGAACTTAATGTTGATTCAAAACTCAAGCTGTTGTTCAAAAGACTTGCCAAAACTGAGCCACATTACACTGAATACAAAGTTTTTATAATTAAAAACCCTTTCCATGCTTGGAAATACATCACCAGTTCCCAGTATTCAGCCTCCTTACATCCATCCACAAATTTCCTCTGCTCAGAGCTAGCGTGAATGTTTTGAATACTCTTTCTTGATAAAGTCTTGACCTTTAAAGTAAAGATTGCCAAATGTGGCCCAGATGTCAAAGTAACTACATTCGGGATTACAAACCTGCAGTGATAAACATATTCTTTACCTTATTAATGAACTCAATGCAGCTGATGAACATGTAATCTTTGGCATAAGATTCCACAACATCAGCCTGTAGAAATGACCTGGGTTCAATTCGTGGGTGTGCTGCAATGTATACAAAGGGTGAAGTAAGAACGTAAAATGAAATAATGTTTAATAATAAATTGCAACATAAACGGTCACATTGGACCAAGTGTTCTAAATAGATGTAGTTTCTCTTTCTTCAAGTGCCGTAAAACAGTTACTGTATTATCCAGGAACAAAACTTTTATATGTATGACAAAAGGCATGCTTAAAGAACCAGTACTGTGTTACCTGTGTGACAATGAAACAGATGATTGTGGTTTTCGTGATACTGTGGTTTGATAGTGACAGTGAACTGGATGACTGTGCTGTTTCTTTATGTTGTGGTGAATGGTGATAGTGACAAAGATGGCATTTAAGATTTTATTTTGGAGGATATGGAAAATAACAAGGGAGAGAGAAAATTTCACAAGCAATATCAGACCAAAAAGTACTTCAAAACATGTGACATAAAATGTGGACTTCCTCAGTTGTTTTTAAACAAAGAACTGATAAAAACTTGGTTGACAACAAAACATTTTTAATAACAGAAAATACACAAACCAACAAGCTGCGAACTTCCCCATATAAATGGAATGAACTGGTAATCATCAAGACTCCATACACCATGGCTGCCAGCTGGCTCCATTCTATAAGTTAGTTGCAACTTACGAACAAGGAGAAGGTACCTGTAATATAATAAATGACATCTAAGAACTTGTTAACTCTCTCAAGAAAATCTTCCTCAAAATAATTTCTGCCTGAATAGCATTTGCAATGAATCTCATAAAGCATGTTAATGGTCAGTGCTCATAATGGGGAAGAGGAATTCTCCTAAATCAGGCTTAGGTAACACCCAATGCAAACCTACATTCAGCTCCCAGCATAAACAATTGTTTGATTTATTTCACTTTTCAGTTCTTGCAAACTCTTATAGCCAAGTTTAAGGTTTACATGCGTCATGTTTGTGTTTTTGATTAAAATATATAATAAAATACAGGTCAATACACAAAACTTTATTTGGATGTTAAAATTTAAAATTTTAAATTTGCGCCCTAAATAGTCGCATGAAATGAATGAAAGCGCTCTAATGTATAAATAGTCGCGTGAAATGAATGAAAGCGCTCTAATGTAACATCCTTATAGTGATGAATGGCGCAAATTTAAAATTTTAAATTTTAACATCCAAATAAAGTTTTGTGTATTGACCTGTATTTTATTATATATTTTAATATTCTTATAGCCAAATTAAATGCAACTGGTAGATACACAGAACACTTAATAACATTTCCAAATGGGATTATGTGTACTGCAAAAGAATTCTGAATATAAGAGAAAGTAAAAAGTAATACCCCAACTGCACTGATAAAAACCTGTCTCCAAATGAGAAATTTCAGTTAAAGTATCTGTTTAAACATAACCATAAAATGTAGTCTCTTGCATTAATGTAAAACATTTCTTCAGAACTTGTCTTTTCAATATAAAGGAATGTACACACCATTCTGGTCCAGCAGCTCATGGAAATTAATATAATGTATATGATTCTGAGGTGACAAATGTTTAATGTTCAATGTATATATGATAACATTTCACCTGTTGAATATACGAGTAACAGCTGCTACTCTATCCTCCTCAAGCAAGGACCCAATTTTGAAAAGGCAACATAAGAGCATAATGAATGACATCTCATGGCCTGTGCCATAATCAATCCGTGTCGAGTTACCAAATCCTTCTGAAAGATACACCGTAATCTCTGGGATTGCCCGGTGGAATTGCTCTGGAAGTGCTTCCTGAAGAAGTTGTACGGCTCCCTGTTGCAATAAAAGAACTGTTAGAATATTATTTCTGGATAACCTTGCAAAAATCATATAAATGTTTTGAAAATAACATTACAATCACTACCTCCTTTACTTTCTTATACCATGTCCTGAACGCCTGATTACCAAACCTCTGAGGTTGTTCTATAGGTGGTGTCTCTTCAATCCAAACATCCAATTTATCAAGTAGATTGACCATTCCTTTTGTCACATCACTCTCTGGGCATTCAACTGACAAAGACTTCCCTTTCACAGCCTCATTGATAGCCATGATGAAGCCCAAGTACTCCTGTGTGGAAGGACAGGAAAAAAATTACATAGTGGATGTTATATGTCTAAATTCCTAACTATATAACAGTAAAGTTGAAATAAGTTTTGCAACATACAAAGTAAGCTTCAGACTTCTCCCATATTTGCATGTCCTCAACGGATGTAACGGCCCTCCTGGGCATTATATATTCGTGATCTTCGGATACTGTAAAGCAAATACGAAAAATATGAATAAAGGAAACGATCAACCTCCAATTCTAGAAATCTGTTAGTTCAAATTACAGCTATAGGGCAATACATGAAACAATGTCTAAACTTACCAACAGAATCCATGCTGGGAAATTGCAATGAATATTTAGCTTCTTTATGTTCCAAGATATCAAGGAACCATTCAAAATATTTATTTTGAACACCTTGCTTCTGTCAGCTGTGGAACACAACAACACTAAATTACCACAGATACCTACACGAAACTATAATCGACCAAGTGGTAGTCTATGATATTTGGCTAGGGATATTCCTTGTTTAATGCATGAAAAGGAATGCGTCATACTTCGAACACAATTGTACGGAAGGAAAGTCCTATGCTTTTAATGGGATCCCCTGTACAACAGCTGTTGGTTCATTACTAACATTTAACAGTACAATAATAATACTGGAAATGGGAACACGTTTCAATGTTCATGCTTCTGAGCGTCCCTGCTATGATCATTTAGTGACCGTGCTTTCAGAGTGAATTTCACTGTCATATCAATAAAAGCCTCCCAGCATATTTAAGGTAGTTTCTACTTGGTGTTTGGAATTTATTCTAGAATGCTGCGCCTTGTAGTCTGGTAATTTACTAACGTTTCAGAGGTGCTTGCCTCCATCATCTGGGCCGACGATGTCGTTAAACACCTACCAGACTACTACTACTACACAGCGCTACAACAAGGAACACCACTATCTTCGTACTCACCGCCGTGAGAACCTACTTAACAAGTCCGATCATCCACGGTTACAAAGTTACGGTAATTTTAAAAACTAGACTGTGTCATAACCCGTACGACCACCAATGTGGAACTCAATACCAACCTCGCCAAATCAGTACCAAATTTATGTTTATATTTACTGTTACACATTGCCGTAGAGGGAGGCATATATTTGTAAGTAATCATAGGTGAGATAACTAGGTGTATGCTATTTCTGCTTATGTCTTATGATTACAACAGTTTCCTTAGCTCTTCTCTGCACTGTTACTGTGACAATATCATGGTGGGTCTCGTCCAGTTGTCTGCAGTGGCGAGCTTTACGGATATATTTGTTCGCGTAAAGTTGTTCATGATTTTATGTAATTTTCTGTATTTTATGTACTAGTTAGAGGCGTATTAGTGTTTCTGTACTGTTGAATGCTGAATCTTAACTTTTAATTTTTGCTTGTTTATAATGAAGACAAGAGAATTAGGCCGATAAAATAATTCGTCCACAACGTGCAGCCATCTTGTGTGTTGTTTTGAATGAAGTGAATTTGGGTGGGAATTTGAAGACGTGCAATTAACGAGGTAAGATTATTTTCAACAGGAATTGTTATTATATAATAGTTATATAACCAAAGAAAAAATTGACAGTGGAACCACGGTTCCGGAGAATCTGACGTAAATACGTCTTTGTATTTAAATTATATTTAGGCAATAAATACAATGAAAGAAAATTTATATATTAGCTTTATTATAAGTATTCCCTTTATACATGCTTTACAATTGAGTAAATAGTTTGATTAAGACATTGCTTAATTATCTATCTCTCATAAGTTCAGCATTAGTTTTTTTGGTATTTCTTTGGGAACTTCAGGTTCATTATTTAATACTTCTATTTTTTTACATTTTCTGTACTATCTCATATATTCTGCATTACGGACTCTTTTAGCTTCAATGTCATCCATCTTATTATCTCTACATAGTAAGACGCAACACACGAATGCAGCAGTAGCGTGAAGTGAGATGCGCCTTTATTTGTATAAATAAATGTTTGTAGAACCTAAACCATTTGTGATATGTAAAACTCAAGAGGTAATACGTATTTCATATGCAATATGTCCAGATCCCATAGGTTACATTACCCTTACTCTTACTATTCCTGAGGAATGAACGTTTAAAGGTGACTTGGCGCTGGATCTTACACATCTTCGTAACTAATGCTGTTTTTACCGAATGACCCTTCCGTATAGACGTATTTACATCAAAAGAAGACAAGACTAATTCTCTTACATGAGTTCACAAATGCAGATGAAAACATTAAATGTGATGAACAATAATAATAAATAGGAATCCCTTACCTCAAACTTTGTTCAATTGTAAGAGACCAAGATGTCCACCGGCAATAATCAATTTAATCAAAACTAAAATGGAGAGTGTGGAGGGCATATCACAGATTTCTTAATAATTCTTATATAAGATAAGTACTTGTGATATTCTAAAACGTTTTTAACAGCACAATATTATCTACTCTAC